CTTTGTTAGTTTATCTCTATTCGTCAGCTATAAATTCGAACGGTTTTTTATATTGATCTGCATCATTATCAACATTAACCCAGTTAAAAAAATTACTCGAGACAGATGACACTTTAAATTCTAGACTTGCTATACAAACTGTCTTGTGAATTATTCTTTGCGATGCTTTATTGAGACATGCCTTCGAACACCTTCTAATATTAAACGACAGTCAGTCTAGCTAAATTACTTGAAATTTAAGTGATCGTAATCCTAAATTCAACTAGCTGACAAGAGAAGCTTACTTACATGGGTCAAGAAGATTAAAACAAAATAGAGCTACGAAAACTGAACTTCATAAATGTGCTTCGGGGAATACCTACTTGTCTCAATAAATCTAAAAAACAATAGAACTAAAGTACCTATGTTCGAGTTACATCAATTTCCACTTGACAATGACATAAATAAACCTCAACAATTTAACATAGACATATGACAGACACAGACATAAATTAAACAAAAGAAAAAGAAATGTGGTATAACAATTTATAGTTCAGATGCCTGAATTCATAAAGAAGTAGAAGAACATAACTGAATGTGGGTACGTAAAGATTCCGTGAAGCATTTCTTCAGGAAAACGAAGTAGTCGTGATTCGGGACTATTCCCACCTCTCGTTCCTACCGCTGCAACTCCTGTGTAGGATCTACACTTGACTGCCAATAAAAACCCAACAAGTGAAGGTCAAGTTTGTCCTGGCATTGGACCTGCAAAGAAATTAATCAGAAGAACATAGGAGGAGTTCGAAGTCGTCGTGATGCAAATAGTATAGTATATCGTTGAAACTATAGTTTTCGCCCAGGCTTGGTATTCCGCCTGCATAGCAATCGGCCCGGTGCACCGGCCCACTGACCCGCTTCTCGCCTCTGCCCCCGATCCCAGTGAAGACTCTCGCTTATGCAACGCATTCTCCCGTCGATCAACAATTGCCGATTTCCTATAGCAAGGGAACTTATCAGATGAGCTTAGAGCATTCTTGTTATTAGCATTTAAAAGATAGTGGCGGAAGAGCATTGGTTCATAGTATTTATTGAGTCGTGTTTTTGATAAAACGGATGCTGTCGTCAACGAACACGAAATAGGTCTAAATCTCAGATTCTTGATCTGGGGTCTGAATAGACTCCAAAATCTTACATGTATTTCCATTTGAGTGCTGGATGCACCTAAATGTAGTCCCCGAAAACTAGGGGTGCACGCACACACACATAACAAATATTTCAATAGGACATGAAATTTTAATAGAAATTAATAGAAACCAAATTAATGAGTCAATCAAGTTCCATAATGGGAACAGTTTAATGATAGATTAAGTATTTCGGACGGCTCTACATCTTTTCTAAAAATCACTTCGCTTTACATCTGCACTAACAACTCCCAAAAGAACATGACTGTATGTATGACTCTATAATAAAGCTACTATCAAGATTGTAAACCAACGCCTTGAGCTAAGGTATGTTACTTATGTGAGCCATGCGGCTTTCACAGTAAACTTTGACATTTAGTAGCAGACAATTTGGCGGCATCCATAATTCTCACGGACCGTTTACGTAAATACAAATAAATGTAGTGACGTAATGTGAACGCAATAGTTCAACGGAATGTTCATTAACAAATAGTTGAGTAACCTTTAATTATTTTGTTACCATAACGAAGTTTGTATGAGGCTGCGATTCTGCAATTAATAGTTAAACAGTAGACCGTACTATATGACCAATGACCAGCCATATTATTCCTTACAAAAACATCGTAAATAACCCAGATCTTGTTGTCATGACTAATGAAATTAGAACTGAAAACCTGTTAACTTTTTTACCATGAAATAAAAAGTTTTTACGTTATCACATTGCACAGTCCTTCACTTTTGTAGTCTTTCTAGTTTTGTAATGGTTTGTTTATTTTTTATTTCAGCCTTATTCCTCTAATTGAATTAGGTTAGAAGATACATTTTAATGTAGAGTTAGCGAATTATTTTTTTTATTTAATAAAATCTCTTGATTGGTTGATTGGAATTGGAAGATGTAACGTTTATTTTCAGCATTAGTAAATAGTACTTGTACGGGATACAAAATGTGGTTAATTTTCATGCCTTTAGGTATCTTTTAAATAGTTTTGCAGTATCTAAACTGGACACAGTAAACAACTATTATTAAAATGAATTCCGTGTACAGTCCAACGCAACCTTTATGGTATAGAAATTGTGCGTTTAAAATGATAGCCAACATGCAATCAGATAAATTCGCTTTCTACAGCTTCTACTAGCTCTCTATTAGAACTATCGGAATGAAATAATCGAGCTCATTTCATCTTTAATTTATGAGTAGGGAATAAAATTTCCTTTAGTTGCGGACTGACAGTTTCAGTGAAATCTATATTAACTATTTTTATCAGAAAATAAGCAACAGCTACGATCAATTTCTGTAAATAGGAAATCAACTTTTTGGCAGTTGTACAGACAATTTAATATCTTGCTTTATAAGCGTTATTGTGACTATATTTCCTTCAGAAATCCGAACAGGTGTGATCCAAAAATGTTAGCGAATGTATTACTTGAGTCATACGTATTTATTTTATGTTATACTTTTTACAATCCGTTGTCTACTTTACAAGTAGACTCTCACACTATTTCCCAAGATTCAAAATAAGCAGAATGATTATGAGATATCGGATATACCTTATTTAAATATGCTAACCTTTTTGAATAGCATGGGCTTGTGTGTAGAGGTAAGTAGTACGAGTACCTACATTTAATTTGTATTCAAATCACATAAGCGGTGTGTCATGATCACGATTCGACTGACACTTGCGTCTTCTCACATTAATCTGTATGTATTTTCATATGATTACTGTATGATTAATCATAATAAACTTACCTACTAACTAAAGATAATAAATCTACCAGCACAACCGGAATTATAATAATTTCTCCACAATTGGTAGCGATACCATAGAAAGTCACAGGTCGAGCGAGGGCTGCATATAAAGAAGTGGATATAACCCAGCAGAATGCGAATCCACTATCTACTTCGGACCTGGCGATCAAGGTCAGGCAGACACAAATTGTCTGGTTTAACATACAGGATGGAAACATAAGGCTTAAGAAATTAGGAATAGTATTCAGTTTATTAAAGAATCGATCGTCTAATGATTCTTTTATCCACAACGAGGAAGCTCTTGATTTGATTTAAATTAGGATTTTTCTCTGTTAATTTCTTCAGTTTCAAATGAGTTGATATGTTATTTTTATTGGCTTTGTCAAAAACCGAGATTTGAACCGTTACCTTTGATATAAAATTCAGATTTATTTCGAGTCATATCGTTAAACCGGATATGGAATCGATTGCAGTGTAAATTATATGATTCTAATACCGCATCGCTCGTTGGAGCCTGGTTTTATTGTCAAGCTCATGGGCAACACCGCTCAAGCACCTTGCCGACAGCAAGCCATAATATTCAGAATACTATATCTATATTTTCGAACACATTTGTCACTCTCATTCATGACTAATATTTCAAAATGTCACAATTTTATGAAGATTTATGCGGGTGGCAGCAATTTTATTTTTAATCGCCTAGCTAGACTACATTTTTCTATCTAGTTGCTTCCACTTGATACACATACAAGACTTGGTTATCAGTGATGCTGTTGTATGGCCTGAAATTCAAGCAATAAAAGGCTCAATCTGAAGTTTTTAGGTTGCATACTTCTTGAGATGTTGCCCCCATATCATCTCCCGCACTTTTGCTCATCTATATCCTCGTGGCTCTAAAAAAGCTTGCGGTCAAACCACACTGCCGCCCTGTATGTCGTCGCAGCATTGGTATTCAAGAGGCCAGCCGCGGGCCAAGTCTTGGCGAGCGGAAGTGTCTCGCTTGCCATTGTTTCCCGGATTCAATGAACCCTTTTTGGGTCAGCAATAGGTGTGCCGATTAATATAAACTAGAGGACTCCTGGTTTTATTATTACTGTAGTAAAGGTCAGTTTTATTTGAACTTTGACCTTTGGAGCTGTTACTAGGCCCTTCCAGGTCCTTTCAGGTTCCTGGATCCAGTTTTTAGATATAGTCTGTCGTAGACAATCCCATGGCCTTATACATGCAGATAACGCAGTTAGTTTTAAAATCCATCTCCAAGTAATTCGGTAGAGTTGTATTTGCTGTCCCAAGACCCTCATTTTAGAATCCCTAGACCTTTGGTAGGTGTGGCAAACTTGTATTGATCTGTTTGATCACTACTGCACTAAATTAAATAACTCGCACTCACAAATGAGCCTTTTCACCTGTAAAAACCTAATAAAAAACCTTTTTAACCCCTCATAATTTAATTCGTTTTAAAAACCATAATAATTAGTTACTTATTACAAACCAATAAAAAGTTTTAATGTTTAATTAGTTTACTGAAACGTGTAAAACAGCTACTACTTAATTCGTTTTAAAAACCATAATAATTAGTTACTTATTACAAACCAATAAAAAGTTTTAATGTTTAATTAGTTTACTGAAACGTGTAAAACAGCTACTTCTTAAAAGTGCGTCTAGTAAGTAGTGATAAAAATCTTTTATTTATGCAAATATTCCGTTTTTATTTTAATGATCAGTATCTTATCGTCATAAATTATATTAGGTTTGCTTGAGTGCCATTTAATTATTAGCTGTATAATTAACTTTTTAATATGTACGAATCGAATATTTCCGTGTTTCAAATAAATTCTGTTCAAATAAAAAAGAAAATCAAGAAAATAAATGAATTTATTAATTAGTTTCTTTTATTTTTACACAACTTTCACGTTACTCATTTTGCTTCTACGTGCTTTATCTTTTATTTCAATACTTTCAGAATGATAAGCCAAGTCCAAGTATAAAGATCAAAGTTAAATTAGGTTACGATAGTAATATTGCGTTTTATTGCATTGCAACTATATCTGGGGCAATATGTTAGTATATATTAGGGTAAATATGTGACTGCAGGCAAGTTGAAAATCGGTCATCATGGAGACCGCCAAGGCATTGTTTTTGGTGCTGGGTCTTGTCGCCCAGGTAAGATTCCTTCTACTTTACAATATTTATTTTTCTAGAGTTGTTCATTTAATACATTTAATGATTAAATTAATTTCTTTAATTTGCAGCACGCATGGGCATTCGATCCATACGGGCAGTATTATGGGGCACCGAGCTATCCTCCTGCGATAGCAGCGTCTGCCTCAGCGTCTGCATCTGCATACGTCGATTTCTCAGCTGCGCCTTCCTACCTTGATTATGCACCTGCACCTACCTACGTTGATTATGGAGCTGCACCTGCCTACATTGATTATGCAGCTCCACCTACCTACGTCGACTATTCACCCGCGCCTACCTATCTGGACTATCCCGCACCCATCCCACTACCTTCACCTTCGTATCCCCCGCTGCCTTCTTCCTGCCCAGGCGCCATTACCATCCAAACTCCCCCGTCCCCGCCTGTATACGTATCTCTCCCACCGCCTGCGCCAGTTTACGTCACCCCTCCAGCATCTCCCCCAGTGCTGGTTGAGGTGCCTCCTTTACCACCAATGACGGTCACTCCTCCTCCGCTAGCACCTTTCGTCGTCAACCCTCCGCCGCCACCACCGATGACAGTAACCCCGCCCCCGTTGCCGCCAATATGCGTCAACCCACCTCTTCCTCCACCAGTGTACGTCACGCCGCCAACTCCTCCGACGATGTACATTAATCCCCCCGCGCTCCCGCCAATGTTAGTGGAAGTTCCATTGCCACCTCCAATCGTCATTGAGCTGCCTCCTCCCCCGCCGATCGTGGTGCAACCGCCACCCATCGGGCAGATCATGGTGCAGCCTCCTCCTCTACCGCCAGTGCCGGTTGAACTGCCCCCGATGACCCCGATCATGGTCCAACCGCCTCCGCTGCCGCCAGTGTGCGTCCAGCCGCCGCCTCCAGCTCCGATTAGCGTTCAGCCACCTTCACCGCCACCGATGACGTTGACCCCACCCCCACTTCCTCCCTTCACGGTGCAGCCTCCAGTGCCCGAGCCCATCTTATACGAATCTCCCCCGTCACCCCCAATTCTAGTCCAACCCCCTCCGCCCCCGCCCTTCTGCGTGCAGCCACCCCCGCCTCCCCCGCTCTGCCTGCAGCCTCCCTCCCCTCCTCCGATCTGCTGCAACTCCGCACCGCTGCCATATAACCCTTATGAGTTCCCATCGCCTTACCCTCCGCCACCAGTTGCGCCAATTTATTTGTAAAAGATGTTGAAATTGTTATATTATGACAATACATGTTAAGTATTGTAATGTAAATGCTTTATTTTATTTAATAAGTAAACGATTATACGAACCTAATGTTGTTTTTTCATTTTCTTCTAATTCACCTAAGAATGCACACTGCATGCAGTGCAGCCTTGTTGCATTTTACTAAATCTACCAAGTCTAAAATGACGTCATTCCATTTAGTTGATCATGCCAACAGCAACTACGGTTTATTAACCGTACAAAATCGTAAGAACGTTGAATGCAGATCATTTACTTCTTGCCAGCTCCTCTACATATTATTTAATGACAAGGATGTGTGGTCAGTTTAGTCTGCATATATTTTTGATGTACTTGAATTTGGCAACTAGTGGTGACTGAGTTTGTTCCGGCGTTTCTTCTCAGTGTTTGTTTCGAAGCGCTGGTAGGGCCCAAAAGATAAGGAGACATGTAAAGTGTCCCCTTAAGGGCTACCTTTTTTACTGTATTTTGACGTTTATTAGTGCGACTAGTGGTCTAAATTGTATAAAATATTTTTGATTTGGATTCTAACCAGCTTCTCCTGTTGTCCGCAGCATGGCGGGCTCCGGGGGGCTGTCAGAGTGGACAGAAGGCGCGGCAGTATGGTTCCAGCCGGCAGGCGCGCCTGCTCCCCTGCCCGGCTCGCTGCTCGAGGTGCACCGCGCCGCCAGGGTGCTCCTCGTCAGCGCCATCGTCAATGGACAGGTGAGTAATACAGATCCAAGATCAGTTAATCTTTAGAACTATCAACAGCCAAACAGATCGTGACGTGAACGGTGCATCCTCTCATTTTTCCGGCAGGATAAGTATAATTTGTATATTGGTTACTAGCAGCCACCAGCGACTTCGTGCGCGTGAATCCGTTCTAAGTGAGCACCTACGTTCTAAAAGGATTAGTGAGTCAGTCAATCAATGAACTTTCGGTTTTATAAATATAGATGTGGGGTGTCCTCCGGAGCCCAATGAAACGGAGCCGCGAGTTATTGTCCTAACCTGGACGTCCGCCACGGCCAGCTGAATGTTACTTTGTCACATTCGTGATACATTTATTTACGAATTCGCCTCGCCCAGACTTTGTTTCGTACATAACTATTGCTAAATTGAATCTGTCACAAATGTTACTTTGTCAAAAGGAGCAGAGCTTCCGGGAACATTAAGATGAGCATAAAAAATCCTTCCTAATCACGGTGTATGCATAAATAATGCATGCAAGTGCTCCTGTCCTCGTAATGTACCTTATTGAGATACCTTCAGATCTTCAGATACCCTAGGTGCAACCTGTCCCTTATATCTTCTATTTCCAGATAGGAAATAATCCCGGCACAAAATTGATATGCATCGTATTTTAATTGCGGTACAAATGTGTAAGTCAGGCACTTCAAGTTTATGCGACAGAACTTGGTATTGCGAATGCGTCGACAGATCGCCAAGGTGCGCCAATCGAGACCCTATGTGGTGTGGCTAGACAGGACCTTTCTTAGAATCGATCGGATGCCTTCGGACAGGTTGCCTCATGCGACGCTACAGGGCTTGGAGTTAGAAAATGTTAGTTTGATGTAGAATGTTATTAGGTCTAAATCCTATTTTATTTGGGTTTACTTTTTTAAGCTAAGCGAATTGTTTCATAGTTTCATAGTTGCGATTAGCCTCAGTTGTTTGCTTGATTTTTATATCGATCAGTAATTCGTTCTCCCAAACAGGTTCAGAGTTCAGATTCACAGAATCTAATTTTGATAATCACGAAGCAGTTGTTTATAAATGTTTGTTTATTTTTTCATTTCTCTCTATGAGCTCTGTATTTTGTTTTATTACAATTTTATTTATTAATGTCAACCCTAAGATGCAATCTTCCTTATGTCCGTAGATCCCGTTTGAAATCGTAAAGTGACATGCCAAGCAGATACCATTCGATTTACAGATATAATATCTATCGGCTTAATCAAATTAAGATTCATTTATTACACACCTTCCTTCATTTATCACCTTACATTACTCGATGCCAACGTAATGGTATGTTTGAGCCAATTACAGAACTATTACTAAAACAAAAACATACTTTAATGTGCTGTAAACTATGTCGTGGTTAATTAAGTATTCGTTAAAGCCGGTAATTTAAAATTACCCGGTTAATATTAGGACCAGTTTAACCGCCTCTGTGGTCTAGTAGTAAGACCACCTGCTTCAGACGCAGAGGTCCCGGGTTCGATTCCCAGTGGGGGCAGATTTTTCTGTTCGGTTTGGTTGGTGTTAGGCTCAGATCATTGAGGTGTTAGGGCTTGTTCTAAGTCCGCCTGGCTAGCTACCACCATCTTATCTAAGACTGTCGCCATAACAACAATGTTAACAGCATTGTTGTGTTCCGGCAGTTAGAGGTAAGATAGCCAGTTCCTCCGTGGTTGTGGATTCCGGGTGAAGCGCTCGCTTCCACCTTCGGCCTGATCATCACTTACCATCAGGTGAGATACAGGCCAAGAGCTTCCTCGTTGTGGATAAAAAATCTATTTATCGCTCGATGAGTGAGAAAAGCAAAACTTTACAAGTCAATATCTGTAGCTTCGGAAGGAAATTGCTCAACCTAATTATTTATGCAAAGTACAAGTTAATTGCATGACAAGTAGCGCCATTCGAACACATAACGGTATCGCGTGATTGCTCAGTTTATATTAATTATCACATACGTGCAGTAATACGTTACGAAATCGGGATGGGAACACGTAGGTATGCGGCGATTTTGCTAATAGTACCTAGATATTCTATGAAACGTGTTAGGATGAGTATTACCAGTTCTACAGTGGATACCGCGTTTTGCAAGCGCAACGTGTGTTTGACGCCCTTTAGCAAGACAGACGACGACCAGACGATAAAAGGAAGGTTAGCACTGCGCTACCTTAGCAGAAGTTGACTGGGATAAATGTCCAGCAGTGGACTGACCTATGGCACTACTTATCGTGTACCTAAGATATTTCTTCCCGATCAAATTGTTACAGAGTCGATGGCTCAATTTTTTTTATGAATCTTGAATTTTGTTGTAAGTAGTTCTCTCAGGTAGAGTTCGTAAAGAATTGACTGTGTCGATGACTCAACCGTTTAAAAATATTTTAGCTAGCATTCTCAAGCCGTTAAAATAATGACATGCATAAATACATCGTAATGAACATCGACATTTGACTTCGCCTTGAACTTGCGGTTATGTGGTTTCGCAGTTTGACCGTGGTTCACGAGGCTGGTGGTGGAAATTGGGGCCAATCAATCGACGTATTCAATTTGATAGCCACACGTAGGTATATTAATAGAAGTTTTATTAATGACCTACTAACGATGATAAATAAATACATACACAACTCCTGATAGATAAATTCTATTTCAAGCCTCTTACTTGTACTTTGAACCTTCATTTGCTTACCAACCGACGAACATGTAGGTAGTATGTTACTGCTTCTTGAAACTATAGATAAATAAAGCCTTAGGCGTGCATCTATTGAGTACGAAAGTTGAGGCAACTTTTATTAGACTTGATCATCTCAATACCGCAAAAAAATAGGAATCTGCTATGGTTTGAGCCTTTCATTCAATTTTACATAACGTGACCTTGTTTTTGTATGATGATCTAAGCAGATCTAACATTTATTACTTATTACTCAATTCTAAAACGCCCAGGTAACCTACAGGAGAGCTGGGATATTAGGCACTTGGCAGTCTTTGCAAATATCGTGAAACCAGCAAACATACTTCTCAAACATTGTGTATATGATCGATTCAAAAGTAAATAGCGAATCCCAGCTGGAGATATCGTCACCGTGGAAAGGCGATTCACAAGGCCGCCGGCGGAATGCCGCTAGAGAGTCGACTCAACATTTGTAATTTATGCCTGCCTGCTTTTTCACGGCTCTTACGTTTACGCGTTCTAAACATGTTTTATATCGACAGTGATGTATATCGAGATTGTTGTTTAAGATTATCATAAAAATCTAGGCAGGCTGAAACTTATAAAAAAAATGTTCGCGAAGATATCTCGCTTGTATGACAGCATACGGTTTCGTAAAATGTTGTTAACATAAATTCCTTACAAAATGATTGTGAATGGATTTAGCATTCGTGCTGAGTGAAGCTTGCATCGTTTAAAATTATTGACAGTTGGTATTTTCATTGAATCTTCGATAACTACGTCTGATTCAACCTTTAAGACTGACATCACTGTTAGGAACTATTTCAATTACATTTATCGGAACGACTCACTTTATAATAATGCAAGAAGTTGTGCGCTTCCTTGATTAAATAAAAACACGATTCTCACGGCTCCGATCAATTCTGTTTGTAACAATTACTTCACGGCATTCATACATAACATAATACCTTAGCGAGTATGTAATAGTTAATAGTTACCTTGATTTAATAGTCAGCATCCGACAAATTAATAGTAGAAACTCTAATGAAATCCATTACTTTAAATAACTTTTTACTGGCAAGCGAGAATGCCAAGACAAAAAAAAACAAAAGAAAATAATGACATGAGCGAAAAAGAAAGCAATTTTAAAAATTGCATTCGAATTTCCTAAAACAAAAGACGTGCGAAGAACAGGGTAATAAAAACAGCTCTCATACGAGTAATAGCTCCACTCCTGGCGCGGTCAAGTGGCCCTCCCGTTACCCCAGCACCATAACAGTGCTTGGCTATCAAGTATACGATCCTAGAGGTATGTGCAATCAGTTACCCGCGGCTTGCCGACCACTGCACTACGCGGTGTTATTATAGTGAGAGAAATTGCTTTGACCTGTGTATAAGGATAGGGAGTAGGGATCCATGGAATAGTGGAGTAAATACGCGATGTGTTCTGATAAAAAGTGGGGTGATAGAGTGATGTTATCTATGATATTTCTTATGTGCACTACCAGTACCTAAATCTTAACTTTTCTTGGTTTTATCAGCAACACCTGACCAGCGATGATTGAGATGCAATTGAATCGTGATTTCATAGAACCGATTGACCTCACGATTAATTTTAAATACGTCCAAGAACTCCTGAAATGTTTTCATAATATAAATTAATGCGAACAGTGCGTTTCGCGCCTACTCCCCAAACGTCCCCTGAATCCTTTAGATCCTTTGCATCCTATTTGTCCATTTCCTGCGAATCTTGTGTATCGTGCAACGTCACACGCCAGAGAAAGAGGCATAGTGCTCTGTCGACCGCAAAAATGCAGTCGCCATCAAGGTCGAATTCCTCCAAGCTGTCAAGTTCAAGCGTTAGAAGTCGGCGATGGCGGCCAATCTACGTGCCACTACTCAAAGAATTATGCCTGGATGTCCTTATCAAAAATGTAAATACCCAACGTTCCAAGCTAGCTTAAGTCGTCCTACCTACTTGACAAAGATATAATTGACGCAAATCCCACAGCCTTATCAGATCGTATGTACAAACGTAATTGGCTTTGATGGATTACCATGCAAATACATTTCTATTTGCTTAATGTATGCCTCGAGTAAATGAGGGTCACTTAACAGTATCCAGATAATCGGCTACGATCCTGCTTACTCAACCAAATCTGCTTGGTCATTCGAACCAGTTAACACGGCTATGGAAATGACTGGTATGCCGCCACACGTTACAGGTATTAAAATGTATGTTCGTTCCATTGAGTATTCAAGGTGTTAATGTGGAATGAATATGCACGAATGAAGCGCAATGAATTGCGAACAATGCGGTGATCTCGAGAGGGAAAGGCAGGTCACGAAAGATGGTCTGATACAGATCGTGAACTGTCATTATATTATGTCACAGCACAGCTGGCTTCACAACACATTATAATTTTCCGTCTCGCTGCAGATTTGCGTTATTCCTTTGAGAAGTAAGCCAGTGGGAAATTGCTGTTAACTTGTAATATTTGTGCAAGTTAATAAATTCAAAGTCTTTGTACTGGCGTTCTAGTTCATAGTTAATTGTTGTTATATCACATTTGATGTTGCTCCATCAGATACCGTTACATTTGAGTAATGCAAAAATTATGGCTGTTTTTTATCTGTTCTAATTAAGTCTTTTGTACTTATAGTAATTAAAACGATCGAAAGGAAATTATACCCATTTTCAGGTTCGTATAAAAATGTAAGTAGATACCAAGTCACAACAACTATTCATTGATGAAATAACTAGGCTATGAAGTAAGTAAGTAGTTCATGATTCATGTTACTTTGTAAGGGCTACTTTTTATTTTAATTATTTTTAGTTTTAATTAAATCGTTCCACTCATATTTAAACGAAGTTATAACAAGAATGTTGCTCACACAATTAAAGTAAGGTAGTAATTAAAAGTAAATGTATTTTATTGCAGAAACATTTCAAAATTATGAACGCATTGTATTCTCGATTTTTTTACAATTTCGATACGATGAATGTAGAGAAATATTATTAGCCAAGTGCATTACATTTGCTCGTAACGTAACCATTAAGTATAACTTCTGGTATTGTAATTATTTTTTATTATCTCATTTAACAGTACTGTAAGTGTTCGATTCTATGAAAAATGATTTTGTTTCCGTGTCAGACCTCTTTTTGTTATTTATATGCTGATTCATGTCAATACCAAGGATGCGCAATTTATTTTAACACAAAATTAACACAGCCAGTCTATACCTACATTATGAATGGGCCTGCGCCGTATCGCGTTTACTCAGAGAAGTTGTTGTGAGGAGGTCATCCCCCGGGCCTAGGGTTGCCAGGTACACTGGTATTCTTCTAATAATAGTTACTTTTACACAGTCCCAGACTTTCGCCCTACAAATGGGCAACGGCGAAGAAATAGGCGACACAGTGTAGCCCCAATTATGTCTTGATTGCCCCTCTAATACCTCTAGTAATCTGTCACTTTATGGTGTGATCTTATTGGTGATCTTTTTCAAATAAGTATTAATGGTCCTTTTTCCGCAGCCCCAGACCTTTGCCCTCCAAATGGGCAATGGCGAAGAGGAAGGCGACCCAGTGTGGCCTCGCGAGGAGCTGGGCCCTACAGGCGTGGACGATATGACGCGTCTCCACGACCTTCACGAGGCGGCCCTACTGTGGAACCTGAAGCTGCGATACGAACAGGGGCTCATCTACACTTACGCCGGCTCCATACTGGTGGCCGTCAACCCGTACCGGCCCGTGGATGCCTTGTATGGACTGCAGACTGCTAGGAGGTGAGGTTTCATTCTGTTCACCCTAAATGCCAAATTATCTGACTAACAAGAAAGAAGAATTTATTTAGAAGTCAGGCTAATAACTCGCAGAGACTACTTCGCACGTAAGATCAGACTCTTGAGAAACCAAATCAGAGAGAAAAGCAATAGGAATACAGAACTACACTCAAAACTCAACTCATACATTGGAAAATTCAGTTTTGTGTACCTATCTAATTCTGTAATACTAGAATGTTAATACCTATTATTATTATGTACTACCAAATAGAAAATACAATTCTAATTAAATATTCACTGCTTTCCAGATACCACGCAGCGGAAGCCCTAGGAGACCTTCCACCTCACCTCTTTGCCATAGCCGCCGCTGCGCGCGCCTCTCTGCCCCAGCCGCAAGCCATACTCATCTCCGGAGAATCCGGTGCTGGAAAGACCGAGTCCACCAAACTGGCCGTCCAGTTCCTCGCAGCAGTAGCCCCTGCCCCTCCCGGCAGAGCCCCCGTCTCCGAACAAATCCTAGAAGCAGCACCCCTGTTAGAGGCCTTCGGAAACGCTAGAACGCCAAAAAACCACAACTCTAGTCGCTTCGGCAAGCTGCTCGAACTATACTTCAAAGACGGAGCGTTAGCCGGCGCGAGAGTCGCCCATTACTTGCTGGAGAAGTCTCGGATAGTCACGCAATCGCCTGGCGAAAGGAATTACCATGTCTTCTATGAGTTGCTAGCTGGATTGGATGAAGAACAGAGGCGATCGAGAGGTCTTTTAACCGCAGAGCATTACTTTTACCTCAACCAAGGAGGAGATTCAGGAGGCGCTGGTGCTGGCGCTGATTGGTCGGCGTTATGCGGTGCCATGCAAGTTTTGGGCATTGGAGATTCTGAGAGAGAGGATATTATAAGAGTGCTTGCGGCAGTTCTGCATTTGGGCAATGTGTATTTCCATAGAAGGCAACTGCGTCATGGTCAGGAGGGGGTGCAGTTAGGCGGGGGTGCTGAAGTGCGCTGGGCAGCGCATTTATTGAAGGTCCCTGCTGAGGCATTGGCAAGGGCGTTGACGACGAGGGTCACGGCAGCGAGGGCGGAACGCATGAGGTCTCCCCTCCCGATTGATCAGGCTTTGGACGCGAGAGACGCGTTCGCTAAAGCCCTATACTCTTCTCTATTCAACTGGCTAGTCCTCCGAATAAACTCGATAGTTCACCGCGCTGGGTTACACGACGCCCACCGCATATCTCTGCTCGACATCTTCGGGTTCGAAGATCTAGAGGAGAACTCTTTCGAGCAGCTGTGCATCAACTACGCGAACGAGACGCTGCAACACTACTTCAATAAGCACATATTTAAGCTGGAACAACAGGAGTATCAGAAGGAGCGCCTGGAGTGGTCTAATTTGACTTGGAATGATAATTCTCCAGGTGCGTATGTTTTTATATAGCATACTGCTTCTAAAACATTTTTGAGACGTCTGTCAATAAATTAGCCCTAAATAGACTAGATATGATTGATATTCTGGAATGAAAGAGAAGCTGCATTTCATGGTGAATGAGTTTAATCTTGCTTTGATTATTGCTTGACTCACAAATGTATCGACAGTACAGTCCTCATGTAGTGTCCAATGTAAATCATACAGGTGCTTATTTTGATAGTATAAAAAATAATCGTGAATGTATTTTAATTGCAGTGATCCAGCTTTTAAGCAAAAAGCCAGTGGGAATCCTGCATCTGTTGGACGATGAGAGTAACTTCCCGCGGGCGTCCGACGCGTCGTTCCTTGAGAAGTGCCATTATAACCACGCTTTAAACGAATTGTACTCCCGACCGAGGTTAGGGGCTAGTGAGTTTGGGGTAAGTGTTTTAAAGAACATTGTTTTTAGTTCTGACAAGTGGTAGAGATTTTTGGTAGATCTTGCTAAAACTGACTGTCTTAAGACGGGGATAAAGGGGGAACAAGTCTGATTCAGTGTATGGCTGGACTATCATCAATATTTTTTCTATCATCGCCAACAGCTGACGTGTGTGTAATCTATTGACACCGTATACTTACACAATTGACCCACCGGCCACCGGATAACCTACTTGCTTTTTATGGGGAGTTTGGTGAAGTCACCATTTAAGGCATTTTGTAAATAAGCTCTGATTGATAAAAATGCCTAATAGTTAACATTAGAAGATCTTCAAAGTTACTTTAGTGACTTCATGCGCCATGATACAATTTTCATTCCCAGATCAAACACTACGCCGGCCAAGTGTGGTACAACGTAGAAGGGTTCTTAGACAAGAACCGCGATGCCCTACGAGCAGACGTTCTAGAACTATTATGCAGCAGCGAAGTGCCTTTAGTGGCTGAAATGTCGGCTCAGCTACGCGCCCAGCATGACGCCAACAAAACATTACCCAGAGGAGCGAATGGACGCTTCGTTACTATGAAGCCAAGGACACCGACGGTTGCAGCTAGGTATGTGAACGATTAGTGAACGTTAAAGAGCTGTTATGCAGCAGCGAGGTGCCTTTAGTGGCTGAAATGTCGGCTCAGCTACGCGCCCAGCATGACGCCAACAAAACATTACCCAGAGGAGCGAATGGACGCTTCGTTACTATGAAGCCCAGGACGCCGACGGTTGCAGCTTGGTATGTGAAGGATTAGTGTACGTTAGTGCTGTTATGCATCAACGAGGTGCCTTTAGTAGCTGAAATGTCAGCTCAGCATGACGCCAACAAAACATTGCCCAGAGGAGCGAATGGACGCTTTGTTACTATGAAGCCGCGGACACCTACGGTTGCAGCTAGGTATATAAAGAATTAGTGTACGTTATAGAGCTGTTATGCAGCAGCGAGATGCGCGAGGAGCGAATGCACGCCTCGTGACTATAAAGCCGAGGATGCCTATGGTTGCGGCTAGGTACTATCGGGGACTCTTCCGCCTGACCACTTTGTAGAAATTTTAGCGTAAGCGCATCGCTCCGGTCACGTGCTCACCCCGTCTCTAATTGGTTACTCATTTTACTATATGTTTACTACGACCAATAAGAGACAATCAGGGCTTAGGTTGCAATACGAAATACCATTGTGCACTTTATTGTCATACGGTTAAGGTTTAAAACGAAATGTTTCTTTTTCTTCAATCTTTCTTAGTTTTAGGCTGAGTTGCACCACCTAACTTTGACCGTAACTATAACAGTAACCGGTGCTTTTTGTATGGAGTTTGACAGATTTTTGACGTTTGTCAAAGTTAAAGTAAGATGGTGCAACTCAGCCTTAGAATTTTAATACATAATAGAATTTGGTTACAAACAAATAGATAATGTATTTTTTTAATATTTTGTTTTTATACGAGGTCTGTCTTCTTTTTCCTTTGGCGAACTGTCGACATATTCTCGCCTTTGTTTTTTTGTGAAGTTTTGTGATCAATAACCGATTGAGTTTGTTTTGTGTTGCCCCGTGATAGTAATTGGACTGTTTGATTTCCTTTTTATTGACCTTCGCGCGATTACTGAACCATGCCTCTCAAAATAATTCTTAATTCTTATATTTACTTACAAACTTATCTANATCGCCTTAAATACGGACAAGTCGCCTAAACGTTCGACATGCCATGTGTGTTAGACCAACTGAGATACACCGGCATGCTAGACACCATCAAGATCCTATCCTATAGAACAGGGATGGATAACCGGTCGATCGCGAATATTAGTCCAGTCGATCGTGGCAAGGCAAAAAATACTACATGATTGTGTACTAAATTATGCTGTTCCATTTAAGATTTAAAGAAGTACCTATGTAAGTGTTAGATCGCCCAGGGTTTCGTTAGTAAACAGTATTATCTTATGTCTAATCAAGTTAGCCACCCCTGCTATAGAACTTCGTGGAACAATACCGTTTAAAGAAAAAGTGTAATTCAAAATCAAAAGCAAGCCCAACATTGAATTTTGTACAAGCTTTTCAACGCAGCCTGTATTGCTTTCTGGTGATGTAATTTGTATTGAGGTTACAGACTGGCCTGTTGATTTCCCTCTGAGTATTGTTGTTATTAATATTATGTATCTCTGCAGGTACCTGCTAAAGTCGACTCCGCCGCGGTCTACGCCATACCGGGAGATTTGCAACTCAATCCTCGCCGAGATGCCTCCAACGGGTGCTGGTGAGTTAAACTGATTATGCCACAGAATAATAATAAGTACTACGTAATTATGCTAAGTTAAGGCTAAAAAATCGGATGTCGTAAGAGGCGACTTAGGGACTACACATCAAACAGAGCACAGGCAGCAGCGCTCTTTGAAAAACATCAATCTTTTAAACTGCGATCTCCAACCTGCCTGCCAAGCGTGGGGATTATGGCAAAACCCTCCACTATACTACAGTGGAGGAGGCTCATAGTCCAGCAGTGGACTGTAAAGGCTGTTGATGATGATGATGAAAGCCAAAAAAAAACAGTCAATAATTCATACAATCAAACTGATGTTATAAGTTTCTTTGCTTACTCATTTTAAAGACATTTTAATTTTCGTAAAGGAATATGTTAGCCATAAGGCAAGCAAGTGACTTATTTGAACTCATGTAATAGGTACTCGTTATTAAAATTGATGTAGGAGTAAATAAGATTGAAATATATTCCGCCTACAGCTGTATTGTAATGGCGACCTAAAGACCTCATTATGACCGTGTGGTGAACTTCTATTTGTGATCTAAGTACACGTATGGAGGCTTACGATGTGTGCTTGTACATAAAACACACCATGTATTCAAATAGGTTCGGAAAACAATCGTTTCTGATCAGTAGTGTAACTATTTAAAAATAAACTTAATAAATAGGTAGCATAACCCCCGGTTTGTATTCTGCCAGCCTAAGAATTAAGATGCGCGTCACGATATAATCTTATCGTCGATTTTAGACGACAAATGTATGGGCTTATCGTTCTAATACGATAATTAAATAATGGAACGCATCTTAAGTTAGCTGGATTCCGAGACATCATCATTTTAATCATCAACGAAATACATTAATCTATGCGCGGAGACAACTTGTACCGTTTTTCTTAGACAGGCTTACAATATTAAGATCTAGCAGATAACACTAGCCGTTATTCTGATAATTGTTTTTGTTATTAGTTTTCCTTTTCATTACACTATTGTCAGTCACTTGTTTGGATCTTTATCTTTATTACATCCAATCAATTCATGCAGTCATCTCATAGCAGTGACTGTGTCACTTTTTTTTAATGTTGTGGTGAAATAAAATGGGGAAGCGATGGAAAGCTATCAAAAAACGTGGTTATTCTCTAAAAGCTTTGATTTTGTGTGAGTGTTTTAAGTTTTGAAAGGTTACAAACACGATATTATCAGTGAGTCTGCAATAGAGACTCGATTTTTATTATGTGTACCCGGAAGTTTAAATTCCTTAGTATTTAGTGCTAGCACGTACTAACATTTTTTCAAGCAAAGTGACCGAATGTTGAACCACTAGCCAAGTTTGAACACAAAACGAAATTATAAAATAAAATGTTTTTTGAAACTTATAAAATTCCCTTTTCGAGTAGTGTTCTCCCAAATCCAACCATGCCTATCCAGAGCTAGTCCGCGTTAAAACAATTTCTTATCCTTTTCTGACTTGTTTGTGTTTGTTTCTTGTAGTCGGCGCGGATTACCAACTAGGCGCAGCGCGTGTGTTCATTCGGGAAGCGCTGCATCGCGCTTTGGAACGCGCGCGCGCAGACAAGCTCAGAGCCGCCGCTACGAAACTGCAGGCGCAAGTTAGGGGGTACTTGGCAAGGTGAGTGATTTCGAGGAGTAAGAGGCAAGAGCCCCCTCTTGGTGGTTCGTGACTCGGACTACTATACCATAGTTATTTAATTTTTAGCGTTAAGAGTCGCATCTCAAACTAATTTGAAAATTATAAATAACTTGAAAAAATCTAACTGCCTAAGGCGGGAAACGAACCCACGACCTTCCGCTTGCCGGGCGACTGCTCTTCCAACTGAGAAGTCGTGGGTTCAATTCCCGCCTTGGGCAGTTCGATTTTTTCAAGTTATTTATAATTTTCATACTATACCATAGATTGTAGGGTCAGCCACTGCATAATACATTTGTGCGCATTCGGGAAGCGCTGTATCGCGTTCCAAACGCGCGCGTGCTGACATTACAAATTTTCCATACAAATTTAAAAAATCCGCTGACCAAAGCATAACAATTACTAAACTCGAGTTTCGTCACGTTGCACTTTCTACCTCCAAGCTTTAGTACAGACAACAGCACATTCGACTACACATTTTTATCGCAAATTCATCCGTATTTACAGCAGAATATGATCCCATTGAGTTTAGCTTAACGTGCTGTTATATGTACATTAACCCTTAAGTATATTCCTGTACAACATCATATTTACGTGCTGTCGTCTGTACCTTAAGTATATTCCTGTACAACATCATATTTATATTCCAGAAAACGCTACAAACAGCTTCACCACTCCACCGTCAAGGTCCAATCCTGGTGGCGCGGCGTGGTGGCCCGGCGGAGGTTCCAGGTGGCCCGCCGAGGAGTTGTGAAGGCCCAGGCGTTGGTCAGAGGCCGCCGCGCGCGCAGACGGTTCGCTGCTATTAAGGAACAGCACAGAAGGAGGGTGGAGGCCCAGCAACAAGCGGCCAAGTGAGTGAAGTCTGGTTGAGGAATGATGTATTAAAAAATACGCATCATTGTTATAAAATGTACAATGACAATCTACCTACATGTAATTTTGTAATCATTGTTTAACTTGCGTATGTGTATGAGTCATACAAAGTATACATTTAAAAATCTGTAAGAACCTATGTACCTTGGATGCAATAAACACATTGACGCCCGTATTCACAAACATTAGAGGTCTCACAGTACGCTTGGACACACAGGGCGACACATGAACCAATCACAGACATCTATTCAACGCTGTGCGTTCGATTTGCTGCTTCACTTAAGCAAGCATCGTTTGTGGATACGGGCATAAGGGCCTTACCACACCTTTCAATGTATGTGGTATTGGAGGAAATAATTTAGAAATCACTCCTTAAAATCTCAAACCATGGTTTTGACTTGACTTGTCAACGCGATAGAAGAAGATTAACGTAATAGATTGATAGCTAAGGCTCCCTTATCGTGTAGGTTGAAAAGACTCCACCTCTATTGATACAACATATTTTACTTTAGTAAGGGGGAGTCCATTAATTACGTGGGGGGGGGGGTCAAGAAAAACCTCACTAAATCTCACGTGGGGGAGAGGAGGGGGTCTCAACAAATATCACGTAATAATTTTTCAGCAAGAAATAGTGGAAAATTAAAATAGAAATCTAACAGGTTTTACATTCTACGACGAAACCAAAAAGGTATTCTCATTATGATACGTTACGAAAGATTACTACGCTAAGAAAGGTTTTAATGTATGAATCTAATGTAGGTACTAACTAATCGAAGCATAGATAAACTAATTTATGTTGCAATTTGAAAAATCTCACCAAGGGGGTCGGGGGGGTTGAAAAGCTGCCAAAATTGTCTCACGTAATTAATGGACGCCTCCTAAGCACCTATGTATTTTTTATAATTATTAATTAATAACCCAAAATCTCCCAACAGGCGTCGCGCAGCAGAACAGAAAGCGCAAAAAGCGAAAGCGGAAAGCTTGCAAGCGCTCGAAGTGCCTGCCGACTTGGCGTTCATCTTGTCCAAGCTGGACGAGTGGCAGCCTCCCCACACTGACAAGAATCTGGCCAAGGTAAGAGTTTTCATATCCTACAGCTTTCGTTGCTTACAACAAAATTAAGTTAACTCTTTATCTTAAGTTTTTTTTTTATCCACAACGAGGAAGCTCTTGGCCTGTATCTCACGTGATGGTAAGTGACGATCAGGCCGAAGGTGGAAGCGAGCTTCACCCGGAATCCTCAACCACGGAGGAACTGGCTATCTAACTGCCGGAACACAATAATGCTGTTAACATGATTTCAGCGTACCGAATGCCTCACTATAATGACTGAAGTGAAATCAATACATTCTATTTTTCGACCGATAGATAGAGGCGGAGGCCTGAAAGTCCTTCATGCGCTCTATCAAACGGTAGCAATAATTAGGTTACAGAATAAACTGGATGTATCCGAAAATTCAATATTTCCGGCTTCCATACGTCATTTGGTACCTACAGCCTAATAATATTAAAAACTGCACAAGATATTGTAAAACTGGTTACTGATCCTAAAAGTGCTTCAAGCTCTACGGTATCAATATTAAGTTACAGAATAAACTGGATCTATCAAAAAAACTAATTTTTCGGTTCCATCTTCCATACATTTAATTTAGTCTATAATGTATACCACAGTCACGGCAATCATCTCTAGATAATACTAGCTGACCCGGCGAACTTCGTACCGCCTTAGCGTAGAGATTATCTTAATATTTTTTTCCGTAAGAACCATCCTTGGACTTCCACAAACATTTAAAAAAAAGAATTATCGAAATCGGTTCCGCCGTTCACACGTGATGCCGTGACAACGCGAAACGGGTTTCATTTTTATATATATAGATATAGATTGTAGCAAGTAAAGCCTAAAACTAATATTTTCTATAAATACTTTTAAATACGAATGCAATTTACGAGTTTATTTTAACTTTGTTATTGAATAAAAAAATGACACTTAATTATTATACATACATTTAGTATGGAAACTGGAAACATTGATTTTTCAGATAGGTCAAGTTTATTTTGTAACCTATTTATCGTTTGAAAGAGCCCATAAAGCACTTTCAGGATCAGTAACCAGTTATTCAATATCTTGTATAGTTTAGAAATAATCAAGTGAGATCACTTATCGTTTCCACCCTGTGTAGGGAGGGCAACTAGTGAGCTCTAAAACGATAGCCCTCATTGGAAGAGTTTTTGTGGGGACGGTGCATACGCACAGTCCCTTCCAAAAATTAACCATTAGTCTAGTGAAGGGGTTTTACTCGCTGTTGACTATGATTAGCAACCTAAGCATGTCTCTTACATGACATGATAAGGTGGACGCCGCAAGTCATTATTTGGAAAAAAATTTGGACACCGCGGGCTAGAAAAACGAAGCTCAGGATCGTAGCGCCATCTAGTAGCGCTCGTAGTTGCCTTCAGGAATGTGAATGTTTGGAACGGTTGTCGTTTTGCAAGGGTTACGTGCTCGGATGAAACGTAGCGACATCTAACGAAGGGTGCCGCAGACACTATTCTGTTGAGAACGTTTGTTCAGATTCTGTGATATAAGAGGTACCTAAGGGAAGTTTGTAGGTACATTTATAATTTCCTAGATGGCGTTTAATGAAAATGTTTAGGGAAACCACAAAATGTTACTAATATTGCTAAACAATAAAGTACGAGTTTGTTGTTGATACAAATACTTAATGCATAAATATTATGTTGACCTGTGCCTGTGCTGTGTTAAAATAAAATAATTTAGCTTCTCTGAACAACTGAAAAAGGGAAATACCTTTTCTGCATAATCTAGGCCAAATTCTACGGTCACAATGTCCATATAATGTATGTAGTTTAAAATCGTTTCTATAAAGTAAAGTCACGTGTCAAATACATAGTTCGTGACACCCAAAGTAGCCAAAAGTTCGTCTTTGTTACTTTAGAATAAAGTTGTGTTGTCTACTTTTTGGCCACTTTAAAATTTTATTTATATTTTTCTTGTAATTACTTTCATGTGTACTACTCCTGAGATATGCGTGTTGTTTTACAAAACCACACCCTGTATGTATATTATAAACAAAACTTAACTTCCTACAGGTATCAGGCGACGTGTACGCTGAAGACGATTACATCCAAATGCCTCGTGACCTCCAGCAGTTCGCGTTCAACAAGTTCAGTTCCGTATACTTCGCCGACGGAGGCCAGCTCAGTCCTAAGAAGTACCCCATCACTAGGCCCTTCCTGTCTAAAGCTGCTGTCAGGTAAACACACAATAGTTTGTTTCAGCCTAGTGCCGTCCACTGCTGGATAAAGGTTTCCCCCAGGTAGGTATTTCCACAATGACTGATCCTGCACTGCCATGTACCACCCTAGCCAGGTCGTCGGTCCACCGAATGGAGAGCCTACCTACATTACGTTTACCACAATAGAGAGCAGCATTTTTTTCATGTACACTATGAGCTTGCTCTTGCTGGCAATCTCACGAAGTATACAAATATTGCAGATTCGAGCTTGCTCAGAAGATGCGTCCCTTTTGTCGATTCACTCGGTCCTTGAAAGCCTTAGTGTGTAATTAGTTGCATAATTTTGGGAACCCAGAATCTAGGGAATACGACTCCATTGCAGTCTACTTCTGGACAAAAACTCCCAAGCATTTTCCACAACGATCGGTCCAGCGCTTCCCGCAACCTTTACCAGTCAGAAAATCGATATCTAAAATTATTTGATTATTTCAGAGATCAAGACTTCAATGATGCTGTAGCTACATTCAAACTGATATTGAGGTGGTGTGATGAGTCCGCCGCCGGGAATGAGGCAAGGCAAAAGGTAACTACAACACAAGTATTTATGATAACTAGCTATAGTTATTTTACACATCTATTATTTGCTAAACTCGTTAATTTACTCGTGGAATTTGGAGAAATTTATAAAATAATTAATTCATTGTTTCATGCTTAACTTTATCTTAATCTACATTACTCTCTAACACGATTAATTTTTTAGAATTATTGGAAATTAAAAATGTGTCACTTGATGAAACGGTTCGCAAAAACCAGTGAAAACTCCACGACACATTGTATTACTTAAAACGATGCCGGCGTTACACAAGCAGTTTCCATTACACATGTATAAGTACATAAATCATCCGCTCTATTGCATTACTAGATCCGCTGGTACAACTGATTAAATTGTAATTTTGTTGCCAACTCCACAGTTTTCGGCGATGCACGCCTTCGTAACGTCCTGCTCGCGTAACTGACGCGTAATATTTAGTAGTGTAATAGAATTGACCGAATTATGTATACATAATGTAAAACGCGATCTAATTTGCTTTTATTTTTAAAGAAAATTATTCAAAATTCCAGTGACTATCGTGTTACAAATTACCCTAATTAATGTGCTAGAAAATGAATCCGTAAGCGTAATAATAACTTTGATCAGTGTTTTGTTTTATCTGGTTTATTATTATAAAATAAAACAAATCGTGATAAAAACAAATTTTTAACTTCTTCTTCTTATTCGTTACGCTCTTGGCAGAGCTGTCGTGGTCACGTTGAGGCGTTGAATTTTTAACTAACCAGTTACATTTTACAAAACGAATTAAGTTATCCGCGTAAACTCAAGACTGAAATGGATGTGTTAAGGATAGTAGTAGTAGGAGATGGTTTAGATAAATTGTGAACACAAGGCAAAGAGAATCGATCGGCATGCATTTCTAATAATTCATAATATTATCATTGATACTCATCCATATGGACGACCAGGTGATTAAATAAAGTGTTAACAAAACAGCTTAACTTAGGTTAAGTAGAAAAGAATGAAGATTAATTAGTTCTTCTTGTTTAAAAATTTCCACGCAGTCAGATCTCTTTTAGATGTAATAAACACATCTAAAAGAGATCTGACTGCGTGGAAATTTATCTTATTTTATTTAAGTGTTAAGTGCTCGTTTAGGCTATTTACTCAGCATACTTTATATTATTTCTAGGTGCTAGCAGACTACATAGCGTCACGTGGGTTAGCGTCGCGAGGACTTCGCGATGAGATACTGGTGCAGCTGTGTAACCAGGCAAGCGGCGGTGATGCCCCGGACCGCGTGTGGCAGCTCATGGCTCATTGTCTGGAGGTGTTCCAGCCAGGACCTCCACTGCACAAGTAAGTAACATTAAAAAGAAGAACAAACACTGGACTGCTTCTTCTCGGCATTACAGCATTGGCACAATTTACCCCACGCTATTTTGTTGGTAGCAGTGGTAGGGTTAATGTTTAAGGATCATGTCATTGTTGAGACGCATAAAAGAGCGATCCCTTAGGTTCGTATTTGAATGTCGCTCAAACCTTGATTAATATTTGGTGGACCCGTAGTTGATATTGATTCTAGTTTTAAGTGTCTTTCCGTTAGGGCTTAGAGTTTTTAAAGTGAATTGTATCTAACTGAGCTTTCTATCCTTCAGATACCTAGTCCGCTTCATATCGGAGCGTGCGCCGGCATCGCATCGCTCGCTGCTACTGCGTTTAGTATGCGGAGGCGGAGCGGGTGCTGCAAGGGCCGCAGCCGTGCCGCGCCGCTGCCCGCCCACGCTGCTGGAATGGCGTGCTGCTAGTACTGATACAAGACCGGCGCTGCCTCTGAGGCTTTACGACGGTCAGTATTAGTGAGAGCGTAGTGCGAGTGCGTTAAGACAATATTATCACCGCACATATCGGAGCGTGCGCCGGCGTCGCATCGCTCGCTGCTACTGCGTTTAGTATGCGGAGGCGGAGCGGGCGCTGCAAGGGCCGCTGCTGTGCCGCGCCGCTGCCCGCCTACGCTGCTAGAGTGGCGTGCTGCCTGTACTGATACAAGACCGGCGCTACCTCTGCGGCTTTACGACGGTCAGTATGCATAGATCTTAACAAAGATGTTGCTCACTAAAGGATAGCTTCTGTGTGGGGGAGGGGGACTGCGCTGGAGTGGCGTGCTGCCAGTACTGATACAAGACCGGCGCTGCCGCTGAGGCTTTATGACGGTCAGTATTAGTGAGAGCGTGGTGCGAGTGCGTTAAGACAATATTATCACCGCACATATCGGAGCGTGCGCCGGCGTCGCACCGCTCGCTGCTACTGCGTTTAGTATGCGGGGGCGGAGCGGGCGCCGCAAGGGCCGCAGCCGTGCCGCGCCGCTGCCCGCCCACGCTGCTGGAATGGCGTGCTGCCAGTACTGATACAAGACCGGCACTGCATCTGAGGCTTTATGACGGTTAGTATTAGGTCTTTTGGGAGCGAGCGTGATGGGAGTGCGTAAAGACAATACTATCACGCTTCATGATAGTGTAGCGCATATTCGAGCGCGCGCCGGCTTCTCATCGCTCGACGCTGGCTGTGTTTAGTCAGTTACAACACAATCCAGTAAAGTCAAAGTCCGCGTTGTAGTATTCAGTAAAGTCCTGTATATCCAGGATTTACAGCTTAACCGCCAATAAAAACCCAACTAGGTAAAGCCAAGTTTGTCCTGGAGGAAAATTAAATTATCAGGGGAAGTTCAAAGTTATGGATGGATTTTCATTCATTGTGTGTCCTTGAACTTAGAACATTCCCAGCGCGCGTCTTTTTCCTAACTACTCGCAACCTTATATGGACGTATATCCATGAAAAAGATCCAACCCAATTTATGTGAAGTTGTGGGTTGGATCCTTACCATATTATTTTCACAATTAGCTTAAGAATGCCCCCGCTTGATGTTATTCTTCTTTCTCCAACAGAGACAGTGCAGCACGTGCACGTGGACTCGTGGACGTCGTGCGAGCGCGCGGCGGCGGCGGCGCTGGCGGCGGCCGGCGTCTCGCAGCACGCCGCTGGCTGGACGCTTACTTTGGAGCACAACGGACAGCTCACAGGTATGTGGCAAGCAGGCAGGATCGGTTACTGGGTTAACTGGGTTTGACTTCTAGTCGCCTCCTCTTATAATGTGTCAATAGGGCGATACTGGATGCGTTAGGCGGGAAAAAGCTTGTACGAACACGTAAAACTTACTTAAATTAAAATGGCGTTCAGTTGGTGGCAGTTTTCAGCGAGGACACGTTTGCTAATTTCCAACTTCAATAGTGACGTGTTTCATTCATTTTTTAGCAGTGACAGCGCTTACCGCTTAGCGATCGCCATTTTGCTTATAAGCGCTTCTAAGTGCTATTATCAAACGCACTCATTTTTTTTTAATATTTATTCACTTTAGACCACAAGTGGCACTTATGAACGTCTAAATGTAAATAATAAAAAAAGAAAGGGTAGCCCTTATGGGGCACTTTACGTCATGTCTCCTTATCTTTTGGGCCCTACCAGCGCTTCGAGACAAACATATGGCAAGTGCTGAGAAGAAACGCCGGAACAAACTCATCTCATTTCTTATTAATGTCTATCTGCTTTAAAACTTTAATGTATAAACTTGTAAACTCTTCATTTAACACTCGTTATATTATAACCAGAATGGGCAGGATGCGAGTACGCCCTCGACGCAGTAGGCGAGATAGAAACTTGGACCGCTCTGCCTAGCTCCCGCGGGGAGCCACTGCGGGCCACGGCCACGCGCCACACGCCGCCCGCGCCGCCGCCGCGCGCCTCATCCGTCGACGCCGAGCGAGCCACCCGGCCACAGGTACTAGCCACAGCTATGTGACATTAGACGTAGTCGAGATAGAGACAACCGCGTTACCTGGCTCTCGTGGTGAGTCACTGCGGGTCTCCTCCGTGGATGCCGAGCGAGCCACCCGGCCGCAGGTACTTAGTAGACTAGATAGCCACAGCCACATAACACTGTATGTAGGCGGATAGAGACGTGGACCGCGTCCAGCTCCCGCGGCGAGCCACTGCGGGCCACGGCCACGCGCCACACGCCGCCCGCGCCGCCGCCGCGTGCCTCTTCCGTGGACGCCGAGCGAGCCACCCGGCCGCAGGTACTTAGTAGGCTAGCCACAGCCGCGTGACACTAGATATAGGCTGATAGAGACGTGGACGGCGCTGTCCAGCTCCCGCGGCGAGCCTGTACGGGCCTCCTCCGTAGACGCCGAGCGAGCCACGAGGCGGCAGTGTACACTGGCAGATACACTCAGCGCGCCAAACGCCCCCTCTACCACAGACATTGGTATTATTGAGCCACTGCAAGCCACGCCATTTCTATAGATGATAATCTAGCGTCGCGCCACCCAAGTATTATTGCTATGTTAATCATTTATTTTTGTTTCACAACTGGATTCGTAGATTGCTCACACCTACATATTTTAATTCAGTAAACTACAGGCCGGCTGTCAGTATTGATAAGCCGCCAAGATACTTACACATTTCATAATGTCTTCGAAGATAAATGTACTCTTGTAACATGTTCTAAAACCACTATTCTTTCAGGTCCCACCACCAGAACCACCGAAATCTCGTTCACCCAGCATCCAGCGTCTTCTCCAAGAATCAATCGATGAAGGACTCTCAGAATACAACTGGAAGATCGAACGCGACGAGGCCGCTTTGACTAAACACAACGAATATTCCAGAAAGGACAGCGAATATTCTAGAAAGGACAGCGAATATTCCAGAAAGGACAGTGAATATTCTAGAAAGGACAACGAATATTCTCGAAAGGACAACGAATATTCTAGAAAAGTATCCCACGATATACTGTCCAGGGAGTCCGCATTGAACGAACGATACTTCGAGCAGAATAATGATAAAGTCAGGAGTCGGTCTTTGGATAATTTGTTAGGGGACAACCCTGTGCCGCCGCCGAATAAGTTGGCTGACTTGGGTCTTTCGCAGTCTCGACTGAACGATCGGTACCATTCTGTGGAGCGACTTGGAGGTGCTCCAAGTGTGGCCAGCAGTAAGGGAGCCATGGAAATGGACTATGGCACGGGGTCGCGCGTGGTTCCTTCGCGGTACATCAAGTCGCAGTACGCCGGGAAACGCGCGCCAGCCGGCTCGCAGTCCAGTCGCGCTTATATAGAGAAGAGCTCTGAATTTGGTGGTGTAAGGTAAGACTTAGTTGGCTCTCTGATTTATTTAACTCTTTTTGTAAGGCTCAAACTCATTCTAAATTGAGCAATCGTTAAAGACTAAAATGGATAATCTATGTTTTTCTCCCTCAGATCCTCAGCCATGTCGGACACGTCCGAAGCCCCTTCGCTCGCCTCTCATGTGCGACGCGTCCGCGTGCCGAGTCAAGCCTCTGACGTAGACCAGTTCCTGGATGACCTGTTCTCACCTGTCCTGGACCCAAACATCGACGAACTCTCCGATGCCAGATCACTAGCCGCCAGCATCAAGGGCGGACGAAACTATACCCAATTCATCGACCACATACTCTCATGTGACTACAACGAACAAATCGAAACGCTAAACAACGCTAAGGATCTAGAAATCTTAATCAAAGGCGGCGGAAAAGACGACAAAGAAAAAGACAAGACGAGTAGAAAACAATCGAGCGTCGACTCTGTGGACGACTACATAACAAACTTATTCGACCCGATATTCATGAACGACAGTCTGAAAAGATTGACAGATGGTGAAGGCTTATCTGAAGCCATCAAAGGTGGTGGAGCAACGCCTAGAGCGGCGTCGGCCAATACTTCTGCACTAAGCTTTGGAGCTTTATCGATTCCGTCCATGCCAACCACGCCTGAAGCGTTAGCCGCGGCAATGGGTCTTCACTTCCCTCCATCTGGGACAGTAGATATGAATGCGTATCACCAGAATCTACAAAGAGCATTTCTGCAAAGTGCCATGGCTCAGAACCTGCAAATTCAGCAGCAGCTGCTCGCTCAGAATCAAGCTTTACAAACGCTTTTGGCTGGGCAAGTCGTTGAACCTTCAGAGTCGGAGCCTACGTCGCCCGTTCGGTCGTCGACAGTCGTGCACGCTCAAGTTCATTCACCCCCGAGAAACACTCCGAAAACAAGACGAGAATCGAATGAGAGCTCGTCGACAGGGGCGCCTCCCCCGCCGCCGCCGCCCATGCCCCCACCGCTGCATGACATAGATCCATCTGAAGTGCGGCCTTTCATGGACCCCTACGGCCGGGCCAAAACCGTTCGCATAGGCAAATGGAGGTGGCCCCCGCCGAAGGACGCTGCGGGCCAGGACCTCAACCAAGACTTCACTAAATTCAAATTGCGTCAAATTCAACGAAGACACACTCCTCAAGCTCAAACTAATGGCATCGAACACCCTGACCCGCCGAGAGGTAGATCTCGCTCAGAAGCGTCGCCGGGTATCGAATGGGAAGAATTTGAAGTAGACGGACGGGGACCAGTTTCTCCCAGCAGAGAACCGCCTAATCAGAGAACGGCCCGTAGAAGCTTTGAAATCGGGGCACAAAGACCCTCACCTGGAAGCGTGGGCAAACTAAAGCTGAGCTCCGAAATGAGACAGCGGTTGGAGCGCGTCACAGCAAACCATTCTGTGCGTAGCTCGTCATCGGCTGCGGAGACTCCTAGAACTGTTAACAAATTGGAAGATACTAGGAAGTTGATGTTGGAGCGTCAGTTAGGTGGAGGAATGAGATGGGACGCCCCACCACCTCCGTTACCGCCTGCACCGCCAGGCCCGGCTCCACCACCCCCTAAATCACCCCCTACTCCACCTGACAAACCAGCCCCTCCTCCGCCAATACCAGACAGTTCGTCCTCATTTGCCCAGCTTCGTCGAGACCGCGATACGTTTGGTGTTCATCAAAACAGAGAAGCAGACGATCGTCACAATTTCCTTGCTAACTGGAATTCTCGAAGAAGAGAGGATTCTGAACCGCCACGCGATGATTTAGCTACGCGTTTCTTGACATCGGACCGTCGCGAACGACGTGTCAGAGATGATTGGGGTGACGAGTCCGATATTAGGAGTTACAATGAAGATAGAGAGCGACAGCACGGTCGTGATGAATGGGACTCCGAGTCAGGGTTAGACGGCCCCAGTCGTCACGACCGGGACAACTTCTCTGGGCGAGATGCTTCAGAAATCTATGAGATACATCCAGCCAGAGCTGAGAGGCGGAAAGAAGAAAATGGAATTGACGAAGGTTTTGACCGCAAACGGTCGCCGTTTTATGATGATTTCAAACGATTTGATGGGCGGAAGAACTCTCGTGATATGCTAGTCGGTCGTGTTCGTGAGAGTCCGAGGTCGGACGCGATGTTTCCTCCAGACAACACTGAGTCGGCGAAGAGGACCGAGAGAGCGACGTTTAAAACTCACATGCAACAAAAAGAGCGAGACAGGAAGATGGAAGCCGAGAGGAGGCATTCTGTTTCGACGCATGTCACGGACAAAACGGAACACATTGAACGTAAGTTAATATGATACTTTATTTACATTAAACCTACCTAATTCTTGACAATTTATTCTCCCTTGTATATTTTAAATGCAATATACTACTTTCTATAGATAGTACATACATACTGTCTGTATTTTCTGGCTCAGAAATTCATTTATTCACGTTAAACCTTTTTTTTTAATCTGCAACTATCAAACATGATGCTACATTTTCCCGGCAAGAAGACCTGCCCTCATGGACAAATTAGTTAGCCCCCATAGACAGTGTAATTCGGAAATAGCTTTGCTCCGGTGCTTTTTTTGTATATAAAGCCTTGTATCCACATGCTGAAGTGAATATGAGGCTTAAGTTTAGTTCAAGCTAGTTCGCGTCATGAAGAGATTTCGAAATTATAACTGTCATGATCACGAATGTCACATTGTCTAGAGCCCCTCTGAATATTCTGAGGGGCTCTAGACAATGTATATAACTTCAATGATTTTTTTTATTTTTTTTTTTGCAAATAGGCTTTTAAAAAGCACTTTTACACGTCCCAATATTAACCCTACCACTGCTTCGGGACAATAAATGGGCCATTAATAAATTTATTTATTTATTTATGTCCAGGCGACGCGCCCGCGCCGCCAGTGCTGCTGCCCTCAGAGCGCGCGTTCGTGACGTACGCGCGCGTGCCGTGGAAGCTGCGTGTGCGCAAGGAACTCTTCACGCCGCTAGAGAACTACAACGACCCGGCTGTGTTAGACCTTTTGTACGCACAGGTGAGCTTAAAATTTGCTATTTTAATGTGATCCTATACTGATAATAAATAAATATCATTGGAGACGCTTTACAGTGTACCATCGAGTCTATTCAACGTGAACGTTTGTGAGAATGGATGGATGTTAGTTACTCTTTCATGCTGCTTTTACACTATGCGGAAATTAGCCGAGTCAAGTCAAAAAACCAGAGGAGTGGGGATGAAATTCATTCATAATTGATCCCCACTCCACTGTTTTTTTTGACTTGACTTGGCTAATTTCCGCGCAGTGTAAACGCAGCATCACGCTTAAAGATACTACTTAGTTCAGCTTATTTCAGAGTACCTATAGCTTGAGACCCATAAAAAATCTTAATAGATTTTTCCTGGTTGAAGAGAAACGCGCGCGTTATTCGCTTTTCGTGACAGACAAAAACCACGCAGGCGAAACCCCGGGAAAAAGTTTTCATTAGTAGTCTCTACTTCAAGATCTTTATTGACTGAAACAAAATTTGATTGATATTTCATGCATCCCTTATTTTGATCTCCCACCTGTTGCATTTTCTTCTTAGTTAATATTATAATTTCCCACCAGATAATCCACGACATAAACTCCACACTGCCATCGCTTCGCATCAGCGCGAGCGAGCGACGAGCGGGCCAGGCTTGGCTCCGGTCCCAAGGCACCGCGCCCATCCGAGCCCAGACCAAACGCCAAGCTGTGGAGATGGCTAGAAGCTGGCCTTTCTACTTCGCCAGGCTCTTCAGTGCGAGGGTCCCACCGGGAGAGAACGCTGTATTGGCTGTCTCCCATAATGCAGTTACGATTGGAGTTAAAGGTAAACACCATTCATAGAGTAGGTACCATTTTATAACCAAGTCCGTCCGAACCTGGGTTTGGTCTGGACCAAGCGACAAGCTGTGGAGATGGCTAGAAGCTGGCCTTTCTACTTCGCGAGGCTCTTCAGTGCGAGGGTCCCACCGGGAGAAAACGCTGTACTGGCTGTCTCCCATAATGCAGTTACGATTGGAGTCAAAGGTAAGCAGTAGAGCGTGAAATAACTAGGTACTTTATAGATCAGACGACAAGCCATAGAAATGGCTAGGAGCTGGATTTTTTACTTCGCGAGGCTGTTCAGTGCCAGGGTTCCACCGGGAGAAAACGCTGTGCTAGCTGTCTCGCATAATGCAGTCACGATTGGGGTTAAAGGTAAGCACTGTTAATGGGAAGCAACTATGTAGTAATTAAAAACCGCGCCCATCCGAGCCCAGACCAAGCGACAAGCTAGAAGCGGGCCTTTCTACTTCGCCAGGCTATTCAGTGCCAGGGTCCCACCGGGAGAGAACGCTGTACTAGCTGTCTCGCATAATGCAGTTACTATTGGAGTCAAAGGTAAACACCACAGTGTGAAATAACTAGGTAGTGTTACTAAAGACGGTAGTCTATCTATACCTTTCAATAAATCATTAGGTCCCACCAGAGGCAGTCATATTTCTTTCACCCAGTCATTCCCCAGTCATTTTCTTCCTCGTCAAGCCAGTGGCCCTCGTTTGTATCCCAGGCCCCTGTCATCTCTATCTCTCCATTGACGTAGTTTTCAATGTTTCTAAAGACTGTATTCTATGCCTTATAATAAATAAGTCATATATTTTCACTAGTTCCCGCGTCATTTTCTTCCTCATCAAACCATGTTTGTATCCGAGACCTCTGTCATCTTTATCTCCCATTAACGCTGTGAGTCTGTTGCCTGTTTTCACCATCAATCCCAAATTTTTAAGTCACCCCTACCCCTAACAAAATTCCTTTTATGTGTTACCATAGGGGTCACTTAAAAATTAGGGATTGATGGTGAAAATGGGCATGTGACCCTTATTTGTGTCGCTTGTCACTCTTGTTCTCGCCGTTGACGCTGTGACACTTGACGTCACTTGTTCTCTCTCTTCTGCAAGCCATATAACCTTTATTTCTTCCTCCAGGCCCTACCGGTCTCCAAACCCGCCGCTCGCTACCACTCAGCGGTCTCCGCGCCACAGCACCGGCGCCCGCATCGTTACAGCTAGTGAGCGCGCGCGAGGCCCCGCTGACGTTGCACGTGCCGCTCGCGCATCACGCGCACGCGCTCATCGCAGAGTTCGCGCTGCAGCACGCCCAGGTTAGTGCCACATTTTATGCAGAAAAAACCGGCCAAGTGCGTGTCGGACTCACGCACAAAGGGTTCCGTACCATTGATTTATGAAATTAAAATTATTAATTTTTATTTAAGTTATTTAGTATGAAAGATTACGCGGTAATAAGCGGTTTACGATTTACGAGGTATTAAAAAAAACTACTTACTAGATCTCGTTCAAAACAATTTTCGTTGGTAGTTTTTTTTAGATTTTTCATTTTCTTATTTTAGAAGTTAGAGGGGGGGACCAATTTTTTTCCACTTTGGAAGCGTCTGTCACGCAAAGTATTCGGTTTAGAAAAAAAGTATTTTAGAAACCTCGATATCATTTTTGAAGACCTATCCATAGATACCCCACACGTATGTGTTTGACGAAAAAAATTTTTGAGTTTCAGTTCTAAGTATAGGGNGGGTCACCGTAGTAGATTGGCAAGTCTTTGGAGGTGGCCAATCTGGACAACAGTTGGTTGTTTTGGTTCATTGCAGCGGCGTTGGAGATCGCAACTGTAAGTGCAGCCGCCAGCTCTTGAATTTCAGTACGCTGCTGGGGCGCGGTGCAGGTGACTTTCTCCTCCTGATGTGCCGTTGGAATGTGTGTTGTGTCAAGCCAAGCTTCCACTTTCTCTGTCGATGACCTCACAGTCCTCGCTTCCGAGCCAAGCTCGGCCAAGTCGGCATTCAACTCCATGTCAACGAGCGACTTTCGAATCGCCGCCTTCTTCGCGGCGGCTTTCGCGGCGGCTTCCGCAGCGGCTTCGATCGCTTCGATCTCGATTTCCGCCCTCTTGCGTGCAGCTTCAATTGTGAGTCGTCGTGCTGCAGAGGACGTGCGCGTGGACTGGCTGCCTTCACTCTTCAACACTTCACTAGCGACTTTCACTTTGTTTGTCTTGTCTTCGTCCATCAATTGTCGGCGTGTTTTGACAGCGGCGCCGCGGGGGGAGCGAAGCAAAGACATTTTGATGACTCACTGTGTTCACTATCGTAGATTCGGCTCGTAGGACCACTTTATAGGCGATGTAGGTCGATGGGTGAACGATGATGATAGGTGAAATNTGTAGGCGATGTAGGTCGATGGGTGAACGTAGGTGATGAATGAAAATGAAAGTCCAGGTAGGTACGTTGAAAATGAAGGCGCGTCCGGGTGTGCGCACTAGTACGTTCGCAGATGGTGAGAGTTCGACGACGACTGGCGGCTCTCGGCCGCGTGTGCGGCGCGGTGAGCCGCTAGAAGCTTCTCACCATAAAAGGCGAGAGGCCTCCGGCCAATCAGTGGGCCGCATTGCTAACGGCTAGCTCGGAATGTTCTAGGCGCGCGATAATATTATTACCTACGCGCGCACCCAGATTCGCTTACTTGTTATTTAATTTAAACTCCAAAAACACATACACACAGTGTAAGTTATGTGGTCGACTTACAGTTTACATATTATTACCACGATGTAAATATACTCATAAGTGAAACATTTGATACATACTTATATTTAGTTAATAGATCCCAGGCTATGTAAACAAAATGCAAGGTAAGTCACAAGACTTCGGTAAGTTTAGTAGGTTAATAATAATAAGTAGATTAGTTTGTAATTTTCAGGTATACAAAATACGAAGTTATAGCTTAAGTACCTACTTCTGGTGGCCATCGTCAACAGGGAGCCCCCCATATTTATTATTATTTTTTTACTTTTGTATCAAAATCTTAATGCGGTTCACAGAATACATCTACTTACCAAGTTTCAACAGTATAGCTCTTATAGTTTCGGAAAAAAATGGCTGTGACATACGGACGGACAGATGGACGGACGGACGGACAGACAGACATGACGAATCTATAAGGGTTCCGTTTTTTGCCATTTGGCTACGGAACCCTAAAAAGCCAGGTAGCACAGATCACAGAAACTTAAGGGAGATGTTGATGACTGCCCAAAAATAGAACACATTGCTCGTGACAGCAATGATGACAGCAACGACGTCATAATGTAAACAGTTTACATTGCTTGCGTAGTACTAAAGATTATTCAAACGTTGAGTACTGATATCGCAGTGGAAAATGAGCACATATTTTGATTACTTTGTGTGTGTGAATTTCTAATGCGACACTGAGTTTCAAACTCAGCGCATTAGTTGGCACCTCTCTATGCAGGTAGCAAAAAATGTAGGTAGGTAGCGAAAATAGCAGAACGGTGAAGGTGTAGGACTGGTCGAAGGAAGATCCGACGAACGCTGGTTCGAACCCCGCCGCCGCTGGAATATTGTGGTGGATACGTAAAACAAGCATATTTTAGCTTACAACGAAGGGTGAACGGGACTATTAGTAACTAATTAATATTAAAGTAATTGTGCAACACCTGATGTTAAGTGAGATGCAGTCTAGGATGGTGTATACCTGCCCTATAAATGCCTATTCACTCTCATCTTGAAGAGGCCTAGATTATTGTGTACGAGAAAGAGCGAATGGACCACCCTCACTCTTTTCGTTTTCGCAAAAGGCGACTAAAGGACAAAAGCGAAGATCGGCCTCTCACGACGAGTTATAGTGGTCACTGTTACTTGAAAATGTTACATAATCAAAATTAATTAGAAAGAATCCATTATATTTTACGTACGTGAACTTTTCTTAAACTCAACATGGAAATTATGCGAGTATTATGGCCTTAACACTGTCATTAAGTGAGCGTAAGTACCCTTGTGCTGTTCGCATAACTTGTCTGCATTTTTAATAGATACATACATCAAAGTTGCTGTGCACTATACTCAGAAACGTCATAAAGCTGCGTGCGCGCGTGAAAGTCTACAAGAAAACTGTCGTATTGTCTCACAATTTATAGGTACGATTGCCAATAAGCTGCGTTTCGAACAAGCTCACGAGAGCGGTATCGTTTTGACAGATAATTAAGAATCAAACGAACTTACCTGTGATGTTTGATATCTAATTATACGAGTGTCTTGACCGAAGATGATTACGTTTTACATGCAGCAGTACCTGGGATGATGCCGTCCTTATCACACTTTTAGAGAATATTTATTTAAAAATATGAGTTTTAAATATAATAAAGTACGTGTTTTGACTCCTCAGCACCGTAGTACATTCNCGTCAACAGACTATTTAACACCATTTCCCAATAATTCAAAATCACGACTGTTTTTAAAACACATTTTATTCTGATCTTAGAAACTTAGTTAATTTTAAATTGCATACCTGCAAATTAAGATTTTTGGTTGCATACAATGAGTTGACAAAATAGTGACGTCACTTGCTTGTATTGCCATACAAAATCTATGGGGGAGTCTCGTTCTGACAGTTTTAAAAAGTACATCAATTTATTGGTGGTGTCAACGTCTATTTGTATCAGGTTCGGCAAGAAGTCGTCGCGGCTGGTTCGCGCGGCGGCGGTGAAGCTTGCGCAGGAGTTGTTCAACATGGTGACGCGTCCGCCGCACGCGCTCGTCACGCGATTGCAGGAGGGGACGGAGACACAGGTAACTATACTATACCACAGGTAGTACACTCATAAGAAGGCTCAAGGTCACCTAAAGGGCGATGGAGCGTGCTATGCTCGGAGTTTCCCTACGTGATCGAATCAGAAATGAGGAGATCCGTAGGAGAACCAGAGTGACTGACATAGCCCGCAGAATCGCTAAAATCAAGTGGCTGTGGGCGGGGCACATAGCTCGTAGAGCTGATGGCCGCTGGGGCAGGAAAGTTAGTGGCGACCACGAGCCGGAAGACGTAGCGTGGGCAGGCCTCCCACTAGGTGGACCGACGATCTGGTGAAGGTCGCGGGAGGTGCCTGGATGCGAGCGGCGCAGGATTGGTCTTCGTGGAAATCCTTGGGGGAGGCCTTTGTCCAGCAGTGGACGTCTTTCGGCTGAAACGAACGAACTACAGGTCTAGTGCATAACTGAGTCAGCGCCTGAGGTATGGGAGCGGCACGGGAGGGGTGACATGTGACGTGACAGAGCATACAACTTACAAGTCTGAAGCACATCTGACGTTTGTCGTAAAAACAATACCCTCCCCATACAAATCTGTAGCTCTAGCACGAGAAACTTTAAACTTCGAATCGTTTGCGTATTCGAAACACCATCAAAAGATTTAGTACGAAAAGTCAAACAGCGCCCTTGTGAACGTGTCGTAAAGTGAACTTAGTATGAGAAATGGTTGCACGTAACTTATTTTGACAACCAAAATTGTCACGTTATCGTTTAATTCAAAGGTTGTATCGAATTTTGTCGAATACGCAAACGATTCGAAGACGAAAGTTGTTCATGCTAGAGGTACTGAAGGAGATCTGAAGACGTTTGACGTCAAAATAACACCCTCCCGTGCCGCTCCCATGCCTCAGGCACTGACTGAATTAAGTGCTAGACCTATAAATACATTACTGCATTTTATTGCCAGGGATATTGTAGCTTTGTACTGGTGAATGAATTTTCAAAATTTGGTTCAGTAGTTCCAGATATTTCTTCTATCGTATGAATGACCAATCTTCCCCAACTTATGCTCAGTAAATAAAAATCTGTATTTATGTATTATTTGTATTTATTTCATTAATATGTTTTTATTCGCAAACGTCCTCTTGATCTTCAACTTTTTACTTTGGGCAACGCTAAGCATAATTCGACGAAAAATTATTCTAGTCACAGTGTTACTCGTGACTTTTATTTCTCTTAACTAGCAACACTTACTCTTACTCGAACTTACTGGAAAATATTTTTTCTTGGTTGGTAACAATGTTACTGATAACTGACTGAATGGGTATAGTAGTGAATAATTTGAATGGGTATAGTAGTGAATAATTTTAAGTTACCACTTAAACATTTTGTTAAAATTAGTATTTTATTAAAATTAAATATGTTGTATATTAATATATTTTGAAGTTGTATGTTACTTTTGAAGCATAATGGAGGAAATGAATTATGTAAGTAACATCTATAATACTTCAGCTGTCGTGGGGATTGTTTTTCTTTTCGCCGGTTTCCTATACATTGCTATACAATTCTCAACATTCACGACCTTCTTGCATGTCATTGTGATATCTATGTCTTCAGATATAATATTTCTGGGCTGTCAAATGTTTTATATCATATTTTAATTTAACTATTGCGTTCTCCTGCCTGTATTGCAATAGAATTAGAAAACTCGGCAGTTGGTAGCACCTCTCATTCTTACAACGTAATAGAAAGCGAGATGCACTTATGTCTGTCATGATTATTTTTCCATTTTACTATGTAACATTATACTATGTTTTATTTTTTATCTACGTGTTTCATTATTTCCAATCGTTGTTAATTGTTGGCCATAAATGTATAGATTTTTATATGATAAAGCTTAATTTTTATGGTCAAATTACTTATTGACAAGCATTAGTTTAATTCATAATTTGATGAGTCCACATTGTTATTAGCAAAGAGGTTTTCACTTCTGTAAGTAGTCTGCCTGTTTTGTGTAAACTACATACGGACTCTCAAGCGTGAATTTATATTATTATCAGGTTTTCAAAACATATTTCTTGGGATGGGACGAAGTAATTGCGGTGGACTTCACCCGCACCGCAGAATCCGTAGCAAGGACCGGCGCCGACTTGGCCAGTTGGGCTAAACAACAGGAGACAAAGTAAGTTGTATTCTTTCTCAGCTCCTATTATATTGATAGGATAAGTTTATGATTGTAGTCTCTTTGTTTGATAAGTTCTGGAATGAGGTCAAATGCTCTCAGAACTGTCGACTGTAGAGGAAGTACAGGCCAAGAGCTTTAAAAAAGATGCTGAGGGGCGACCACGTACTAAAAGACTTATGTGGGTGAATCTTTGAACTAGGAGTCGCTAATCGCTTGCAGAAGATTGCTTGATGCAAACGTCTTAAGCCTTGCTTGAAGTTCTGTGGAGATGGTCTTTGTCCAGCTGTGTATTTTCCAATCTTTGGCGACCGTTTCCATACTATTTTACGTGTGACAAGAAACAGGATTAGATTAGCCAAAAACAAATTTCTAGTTTTTTAATGGTTTTATTGTATTAAATGGGGATCTCTGTATCTACAGGGCAGATCTGTCAGCGCTGTTTACGCCTCGCCAACCGTCCATGCCGGCGGCGGAATCCAAGACCCTCGCAGACGAGTGGAACGAGGACCTGGAAGCGATGGAGGCTTTCGTACTCGAGGGCCGACACTTCGTGCGCCTGCCCGACCACGAGCTCGGCGTGTTCCACAGCTGCGACTGCTACGTGTTCCTGTGCCGCTACGTGCTGCCCGCCGAGGTGAGAATAGCTATCTGTGTTCCAGCTGTTGTAAGGTTACAGATCCAGAGCTTTATGGATAAGCCTAACTTGGAGGTTTTGACTCGACAGTTGCGCATTTTCTAGTGTTTCGTGTGCTCAATTACACTTGTCGACTACAAAATTCGCGGGCCTCGCGGTACGTCTGCACTCTAATGCAATGGGTTCAACGCGCAAAACTTTTCTTAGATGACACCAGACTCATTCTGTAAATGTCAAACTTATTTTTTTAGTTTATGCCTTCATGTGGTTTGCATATTCACAGCCTATCTAGTAGGCACTATAGGAGTCTTCTAACCACAACCATCCGTAACTTATAGATGCTTATAGCGAGCAATGTCTCAGTACCTTTCTTGAAGTATTGAAGTGACACAATCTTCCATCTTCATAGCCAGAGGAAGACAGCCGGGACGCGGACGGCGACGCCGACGAAGGAGCATCAGCAGCGTGGGTGGTATACTTCTGGCAAGACAGGCGCGCGCCCAACATGGGCTGGCTGACCTTCACGTTCGGGCTGGAGCACAAGTTCAAGCAGCTGTCGTTCTAGCTCTAAAGACCAAATTACTTTTTAGTTGGATATTTCGAATTTTGGTAGATTTGAAATCAACTTTGTAGGTTTGCGAGCTCCTGACGTCATACAGTGGAGGCTACTAAGTAGACAGCTGTCCGTAATTTATAGCGAGCGACATCTCAGTATCTTGCCAGTATCAATGATAGCAACATGTTCACTGATGGCTTCTCAGCATCTCTCATTCACTCACATTTGAAGGCTACTACTTCTGTCTCTGTCACAGCCAGAAGAAGACAGCCCGGACGCCGACGGCGACGACGAAGGAGCATCAGCCGCATGGGTGGTGTACTTTTGGCAAGGCCGGCGCGCGCCCAACATGGGCTGGCTGACCTTCACGTTCGGGCTGGAGCGCAAGTTCAAGCAGCTGTGCCGGCGGCTGGACGTGGTGCGAACGCACCAGCAGCAGGAGAGCCTGAAGTTCATGGCGCACTTCCATCGCCGGTTCATCATTAAGGACGGCAAGAGGAATCAGAAGCCGGTGAGTGTTTACACATTAAACCACTTCCTTTATGTGTTGCTATTATAAGAACACTTCGTTTTTTTATTTCCCATTGAATTTTATTGTATCTTTGCTTAACTTGTTATTATCACTTAATGTAAAATTCTGATTTTCCATCCCAACTAATATTATAAATGCGAAAGTAACTCTGTCTGTCTGTCTGTCTGTCTGTCTGTCTGTCTGTTACGCTTTCCCGCTTAAACCTCGCAACCGATTTTGATGAAATTTGGCATAGAGATAGTTTGAGTCCCGGGAAAGAACATAGGATAGTTTTTATCCCGGTTTTTGAAACAGGGACGCGCGCGATAAAGTTTTTCTGTGACAGACAAAATTCCACGCGGGCGAAGCCGCGGGCGGAAAGCTAGTAATAAATAATAGCTATTTTTACCCGACTGCACCAGAAGGAGGGTTATGTTTTTATGTGACTGAGCTGTACTGCTATAATTAGCTGTATTGGTTTTTTGTAGTTTTTTTTATAATTGACCGCGATGTCGCCTTTTAATAGTTAATTTTCTTCCTCACATATTCATTTTAATGGCAGGAAAATGGTCGCCAGCCCGTGGAATTATACGAACTTCGCAGCAACGGGTCGACGCTATGCACGCGCCTCATACAGGTCAAGGCGGACGCGAGCCAGCTCAACAGCGCCTTCTGGTAAGCGAACATTATTCTTGTCGTGTCGACAACAAATATACAGTGCCAACAGTGTGCCCAAAACTCCGCTACAGGAATGATTGTCAGTAGCATTCGAAAACATTTTGTGCCTACAACCAGGCCTATTCATCCCCGCGAGTTTACATCGGAAACAAAACAAGCACGATGGCACCCTACAGGATTACTATTCGACAAGGCCTTACTACCTTACCTAAATAATAATAAAAACACAAAATGACTTTTTTAAGTTGCCTCAAGACATCATTTTACCGAAGTCAGCCCTAGCTTCGGCGCAGTATAGATGACCCACGCTGAACTGTCCCACCAAACTCAATGACAGGGGGGCGCTACCATCGTTCAACTGTATGGTTTCCAACATGGCAAAAATCGGAACCAGCGATCCGGTATTGACGGTGGCGCCCCACTGTCAATGTCATGCATAGGACAGTTCAGTATTTTGGAACTGACGTTTGTCAACAAAATGGTGCTTGACTCTTGAGACAAGCTAAATTACACCATATTGTTAATGACATTGTGCATAATTTTTTTTAAATACCTTCGCGAAGTAAACCTTCTGTACGTAGTACTTATTATTATTCTGTGCTACAAAACGGTCGAGTTGACAGCGCGCCTGGCAGTCGTGACGTCACTTCGACGCTCTGGTACGGTCGGGGCGAACGCGGGGAAGTGGAAGACAGTCGCATTCCAGCGAGGTGCGCAATTAGTTCGATAGCGTTTTATGAACAGCGCCTTTTGATAACTGGCCGACATAATTTTGTCTATGGTCGTAGATAAAGTAATTGGAAATCCTTGGGGGAGGCCTTTGTCCAGCAGTGGACGTCTTTCGGCTGGAACGAAAGAACGAACGAACGTAGATAAAAAGAATAATAATTACGGCGGCGGATCCTGATACTCGGATTCGGCCTATCTGACATTGATACCATTGGGCTTTCCTGATGAGTATAGCTTATTGCCATTCAAATTATAAGCCCATCCTAATTATAAACGGGATTAAATTGAACGAGTGACTACTTTTTACGATTTGTGCGGCATCATGACAAGACGCTTACTAAATTCAATCTAGAGCTAAATATATGTTCTTTCATTGGACTTTATTATTTATTGTTAACTTTATTCTACAGTTATATCTTAAACGTGCCGCTGGAGGGAGCACACGACACGTCCTCGGCGATCGTTTACGCGTGGATCGGCTCTCAGGCCGACGCCGACTCCGCGCGCCTCATCGAACAGATCGCCGAGGACAAGTTCAACAACCCCTGGGTCAGCTTGCAGGTGAGCTATCTACCTTCAGGTCTCTCCACAGAATACTTCTGCTACTCCTGTACAGTTCGGACTAGTAGCTACNGGCGATCGTGTACGCGTGGATCGGCTCCCAAGCCGATGCCGACTCCGCGCGTCTCATCGAGCAGATCGCTGAAGACAAGTTCAACAACCCGTGGGTCAGCTTGCAGGTAAGCTATAAACAAGACCCTCCACTGTATTCCTTTGAATGCTGAATCTACGCTCCTCATCAAGCAGATTGCTGAAAATAAGTTCAAAGGCTAGCTTATAGAAGAGCCCCGGGCGGGACTAATCCAATCTCTCCATCCCTCCACTGCTACTTCTGAGTAGCTTAGATACAGCTTGGACAAGGAAACCCGACTAATCAAGTAGATTATGTGGGTCCATCTCCGAGATAGCTGTCTTAAAACTTGTAACGATTTTAAGTAGAATTTAGAGTCAACTGTAGTTCGAACTACCGCACTGCAACTCCTCTATAGCCAGGATATACGACATGGCCAACGAGGTTTGACGTCACACGTCATCAGCACATATGAATAAAATATAAATATCCTTGGACATTTTACACTGCGCCGCTAGCCCCAAACTAAGCAAAGCTTGTGCTATGGGTACTAGACAACGGATATAAACATACTTAAATACTTTTTTTTGTCATGTCAGTTTAAACATGCGTAGAAACATTCTTTTATTTTCTTAATATTCCAGTATCCTTTTCGTTTGAGCCTCTAGTTCAGTGGTTATTAACCTTCAAGTCACGAGGGAACATTTTACCAAATTTCTGTATTGTCAGGGACCACTTTTTTTTTCAAAATCCTATGAAAGAGGAGGTCGATTTCTCGCCCACTTTGCGCCGTTTGCGTTTGTGAACTCGACTCATCACGTCACGCCACTTATTGTTTACTACGATGTCTTTGTGGACCACTAGGAAGGCCTCCAGGGACCACAAGTGGTCCACGGACCACCGGTTAAGAACCACTGCTCTAGTTTATTAGACAGTTAATCAAAGATCCCTATGAATACGGGAATTGTTTGCTAACAACGATATTCGCTTCCAGGTGCTAACAGAAGGCAGCGAGCCGGACAACTTCTTCTGGGTGGCGCTGGGCGGCCGCAAGCCCTACGACACGGACGCGTCCTACCTCGCCTACACGCGCTTATTCCGCTGCTCCAACGAGAAGGGATACTTCACCGTCTCCGAGAAGTGCACGGACTTTTGCCAGGTACGAACAATGATAGTATCGGATGGATGGCGTCAATTGAGACACTTTATGGCCCATATTAAATGTGTGGCCATAAGCCTCACGACACGGACGCGTCCTACCTCGCCTACACGCGCTTGTTCCGCTGCTCCAACGAGAAGGGATACTTCACCGTCTCCGAGAAGTGCACGGACTTTTGCCAGGTATGTACTATGATAGGGTTGGATGATGACGTCAATTAAGACACTTTATGGCCCATATTAAATGTGTGGCCATAAGCCTCACGACACGGACGCGTCCTACCTCGCCTACACGCGCTTGTTCCGCTGCTCCAACGAGAAGGGATACTTCACCGTCTCCGAGAAGTGCACGGACTTTTGCCAGGTACGAACAATGATAGGGTTGGATGGTGACGTCAATTAACCCTTAACCAGGATTATATTTTCAATGGTTTTCAACCGTATCTTCATATTGATGTGGACTCTATTGCACCTCTGCTTCTACAATTTTTGAAACGCTGTTTCTCCATATTTTTAATGGAAATACTCACACATAGACGTCGCATGATCATTAATGTTATAAAATTTTGAAAAATGCACATAAACGAAAATAAACGTCAATCTTTTGAATGCCAAATACAAAAGAGTTGGTAAGGCAGTAAAAATTCGTTTAGCAATGCTTTAAAATTGTCTTGTTATTTTTATTGAGTTATATAAGTATGAAATGAAATCGTCCGCACTGTGCCAACAGTTCCGTGTGGTTAAGTCTAAATAACCTAATACCTAATCTAATCAATTCATTTTGCAGGATGACTTAGCCGACGACGACATTATGATATTGGACAACGGCGACCAGGTGTTTCTGTGGCTGGGAGCCAAATGCTCCGAAGTGGAGATCAAACTCGCATACAAATCTGCCCAGGTATGTATCAGTGGAAAGTACGAGCCAAGATGTGGCAATATAATATTCAATGGGATGGTTTTATTTTATCGTGAATACAAGAATGACTATGTTTCTGTTATAATTCTATCACTAATCGTGTGATTTAATGATGCAAATCGGAGCTCAATATTGAAAAAAGAAGAATTCAATAGAATGTTCAAACTTTTAAAGTTTCCTTTTAAAAATATATTTTGGAACATGCAGTTCTGTAAATTGAATAATTTATTTTTGTGATCTTTGTGGAACAAGCATAAAGCTGAATTCTAAAACTAATCCAAATTGAAAATCCCCAAGGTTTACATCCAACACATGAAGACGATGCAGCCAGAGAAGCCACGCAAACTGTTCCTCACGCTCAAAAACAAAGAATCGCGTCGGTTCACCAAGTGCTTCCACGGCTGGGGCGAGCACAAGAGGCCTCCAGAGTAAACAACTCTCATCGACGACTTTACAGCCTGAAGCGGTACAGACCTATCGATATCTTATTACCAGCAGTGTTCAGAAAAAATATAATGGGTGGCTCTCATTCATTGTCTATACCCGTTAGCCAGATATTTTAAGTCCCCAAAATTCGAAGGTCAGCAGTAAAGGTCTGTAATGCATTTTGATACTGATATCTTATTGAGTATAGATATTCCCAATTGATATTGGTTTGAAATGACATGTAACTGCTACCAGGTAATTGTTTAAGGCGTGGTTCAGACGCGCGGTTTCTGGATGGTTCTCATAGGCGAGGCACGAGGCGGTAACAGTAGCGGTTACTTTTTGACGCAAATGAACGAGGTCTGCCCAGAAACCTCTTGATTATCGCGCGTGTCTGAACCAGGCCTAAAGTTTATTACTATGTTGACATAGTTATTAGTTATGATGCGTTTCAGCTCAAATTGTATAGTATACAGATGTCTTAATGTACATCGCAACAAAGCATTTTCAACATTCGCAATAAAATAAGTTTTATGATAGGTATGTACTATCGGAAGCAACGAATCTGAATGAATTTACGAAAATGAATGACACACATTTTCATAACAATATTTGTATAGTATTGTGTGAAAAAATTTCCATTGCCTAAAAATCTGTGATTATAAAATTTGCTTGTTTGATTATTTTAAAATTATCAGTTCAGATTTAGACACATTTGAATTAAAATATTTAATATTATGAAACGTATGAAAGAGCTCATTATACTAGAAGTTGCATCACATACAAATTTAGTTTTGCAATAATTATTTTAGTAGCCATTAAATTAAATATAAAGAGGGATTTACTGAGAATAATTTTACCTAAACTTCAGTATTACAATTTGAGTGTTACTTACACCCAAACAATTTAAACCATTCGTTTTTATCAGGATGCATGTGTTCTCATGGGCTTCCAAAAGACATTGAGGGAATATTTTGTGAAAATGAAAGACTGAGTCATGCCATTTTACCAAGTCATTTTATTCAACACTTTCACTTATCTAATGATTAAGCACAAGTGTGGAGATTACATTGTTACTCATTTAATTTATTGCTACATAGATGAGAGAAATGTTTTGACTAGAATTGCAGAGATAATTTTCACTCTGCGAGAAATTCAACTTTGCATTTGTTTATAATGCATTTGTAAGTTTATTTTAAGAATAAATTTGATAAAGCTGTATATAAATTGCTGTTGATGTATAAATGATTGACATATTATATTTATGTAAATCATGTAAATATTTGAATATCATATTACATAATTTCATCACTAACATAAATAAAGATACATGAAACTTTTATAATGCATAGAATTGTTGTGCAAGACATGATTTTTAAATGTGGCGCTTAAGCACAAATGTTTTCATAGATTTTTAACAGTTATTTAATAAAAAATTAACAACAATCTTGAATTTTATTAGAATACCCGCAAATTTCACCTGCAACAAAAGATGATAATGTTATGATGAATTTGGCTTGTATTAAATACAAGAATATGCATTTATCATGTAATTACAATATTATTTATTTATGTTAAGTTGAAATAAAATTGTTCAATTTCAATACAAAAACTATTACTTCCAAGTTGTGTTGTAAATGTATAGCATGGGTTGCACTGACTTTAATACATTGAAAATGCACAAAGCTAAATAGGAATCTGCATTTTTTGTGATTAGGAAAGCAAAGGAGTCTGAAGAAGTAATGACAAAGATCAAATTGGATTATTGCCAAATAGTAAAGACTTGAATGAGACATTAGGAATAGATATTTATGTAATTAATAAGAGTTAAAGTAAGTTAAGAATCAAACTACAGGCACCTACCTAAGTATTTAAAAATATTTAATCGTCATCATCATCATCGTCGGAGGGCACAAAAAGTTCGTTTTCTTCTAAGAAATTGGCTATGTTTTTACTAATTGCAGCTCCGATAAGAAGGCCCGGAACAACAGCAGCAACTATACTCAGCAGACCGAAAGGTTTCTTCTCGGGCTCTGGTAAAATCGCTCCTGTAGGAGTGGTGGTAGCTGTTCTCCTTTGAAACACTTGTTCTGGTCTTGTTACAATCTTCATTTGGGCAAGTAGTCGTGGCAATCTAGTAATCGACATTTTGCGCAGATTTATATTATTAACGTGATTATTTTTAGAACTTTGTCTCGTGTATTTTACACAAAAAACTGAAACTGACATCGAACAAGACAGATTGACAAAAAAGTAAATAATTTTTTGACATCCCTCCCTCAGCTGAAACTGCTGAAGAGGAAGATGTCTTTAATCTGTGACAACGATTGTATCTACCAATCAGGCACTAGCACGAAGTTAGCTACAATATAATTCCACCAATAGTAATTTACTAGAGGTCAAATCTTACCGGTATTTTTCCGGTATAATTTGTAAATGTATAGATCGGAAGGATTGACTGACTACTGACTGACCCAGATGAGATGATGGAGATTTTTATCAGTCAAGATGAATTTTTTTTCTAAATAATGAGCAGCCCAAAACCTAGATTTTTTTTTCATTTTAGTTTCCAGTTGTTTCCGACACGACACTACCTACTGCTATAATTCTTGCTTTATCAATACCCTGTCTCATCTGTGAATACATGTCAAAGCCTTGTCAAATACATTTATCTGTCAAATTTGGTCAGCCAAACGAAGTGAACGGAATAATGTTTTTAATAATTTGTTATTCCAAAGAAAGTAAATCATAAAAATGAATATCACCCTGACAAGCTTAGAAGCTCTAATATGTGAGTAAAAATAATTTTGATTGATCTTTTTGTTATACAGTAAAAATGGATAGCCTCTAATGGAGTTGTTTTGTAATCCAGTAAAAGCGACTCACGAAGCGCTACCATGCCCGGACGCGAATGCTTTGGAGGCGTTCTGCGCCGTGCTGCGGGTGGCTCCGGAGGGCCCGCAGCTGGCGGCGCAGGCCCTGGCGGCGCGCATCCACTCGCCGAGCGCCAAGGAGGCGATGCTCGCGCTGACGATGTTGGACCGCTGCATGCGCCGCTGCGACGCTCACTTTCACGCTGAAGTTGGAAAGTTTCGGTTTCTCAACGAAATGATTAAACTCGTCTCGCCCAAATACTTTGCTGATAGAACAGCACCTGAAGTACGGACTAGGGTAAGAAAAAAAAAACACTAAGAAACCAAATCATTTCAAACAACATACCTAATGTGTTTTATATTATTTCACATCATCATTTACTTATCTCAACAGTAGGCCAGTCAATACATATTTTTTCATTATTAATAGAGGAAATTGAAACAATTTTCCTCTATTGTCGTGACAATTTAAATGTTTCAATATATTTTTAGGTGCTGCAATTGCTTCACACTTGGTCAATTGAATACCCTAAGGAAACTAAGTTTAAGGTTGCTTTTGATATGCTTAAAAATCAAGGGGTTGTGAAGGAGACACCGCCACCCTTGCCCCCTGAGGAGCCAGTACCGGCCCCTAAAGTCCGTGCTAAGAGTGCTATATTTGAAGATGAAGAGAAGTCTAAGCTGCTTCAAAAGTTACTTCAAAGCAAAAAACCTGAAGATCTCCAACATGCCAATAGACTGATCAAGACTATGGTTCGAGAAGTGAGTAGCTTTAAAATTTCTTTAAAATGTATTTTAGTAGGTACCTATTTATGTATTTACTAACTATAAAAGTAAACTTTAAACATGACATATTATTATGTTAAAACATAGTTGTTGTAAGTACAATGAAGTTAAAAGTAACTGTGAGCATACATAAGCATGACAAATCAAAATAATAACCTTTGCAATCCAAGTAAATTTTTGTCACAATATTATTCACTGTATTTCACAGAATAATACAGATAGCAGATAAAAAGGAATTCAATCAATGTTTAATACTATTCCTAAACTTGTATAATTAATTAGGTTTAATAATATGGATAACAATATCTTTTATATTGACTGCTGCAACAGTTAAGTATGTGAGTATAGTTTCAAGGGAGCAAGAATCCTGTTTGCTCACCCAGAAAATCCAGAAAATCAGTTGAAAGTGAACTAAAAAAATAATTACAATTCATATGATTCAATGAGGGCTATCGTTTTTATACTTAACAGTTGGCACCCCTGGCGATTGACAGGACCTTACTCTACAGTGGCGCCATCTTGATGAGTGCAAATGCGATAGTCCTCCTACCACTTTAGCGCTCACCAGTTGATGCCACTGTCTTCGCTACTAGCAAGTGACAGGACCTTACTCTACAGTGGCGCTAACTGGTGAGCGCTAAAACGATAGCCCTCATTGGCATGTTCTAAAAAAAATCCCTAACTACGCCAACGGTCGTCAGTAACCAACCAATTTCCAGGAGGAGAGGCGCAGTGAGGCGAACAGCCGGCGCGCCCAAGAGGTCGGGGCCGCGTTGGACAGCGCAGGGCTGCTGCGAGACATGCTGGAGCACGCGCACGACGCGTCGCGCGACGAGGAGCAGCTCATCCACGAGCTGCACGCGAGTTGCGCGCGTCTGCGGCCCGTGCTACAACGCCTGGCCGCCTCCGACGCGCACGGCGAGTACCTGAGTAAGTCATGTTCAAAGTCAAAGTCAAAATGTCTTTATTTGTATAAAGCCTGGTCCGTGAGCACATAGAATTTTGTCCAATGACCCCCAGCTACTCATCCTTATCGCTCGCGCGTAATTATGTTGCTGTCGCGCTCGCACACTCACTGCGGGCGCGCGTCGCACAGTCACGGACCAGGCTTTAGACTATTATATTATAGTGCTTACAAATCGTTAAATATTTTGCTCTTAAAGAGCCTCTACATGTCTCATAATCTTTTTACCCTACCAACGAGAACCTTCGAGACCAACATTTGACAAGTGCTGAGAAGAAGCGCCGCAACAAACTCAGTCACCACTGTCTGCCGGTTAATATAAATAAATAGAAATAGCAGTAGTAGGTACATTATTAATTCAGGAGCGGTTCTCTGAATTTACCACGCATTCTTGTATGGTGTATCTTATGGTGCGTCCACATAGGGCGAACGGGCTCGCGCGGCACGCTGGTCTTGAGTGAGCAGGATGTCGAGAATATATAAGAATGAGTATACAAAATTACGTGGTATATTAAATACTAGTAGTAATGACTCGCATATAAGTTTGGATAACTTGGATTGACCAGTCCCCGAAAGCAGCGCCTGTTCACAGACATGATGAGTGAACCAGCCATCGCTTCACTCGACCATATTAGAGGGAATGTAACGACCCGCCTGTTACAACACATATGCACAATGCACATACCATAAGGGAGAAGCCACACGGTGCGGTGCGGTCGCAGCGCGGCGCCGGAGCGATGTCGCTGCAGCGTCCTGCAAATAAAAATCAATGATATGCCAGACGGTGCGTTCCGGCGCCGCACCGCAGGCACACCGCGCTTCGATTGATCGAGACTGTGCCGTATTGCGGCAAAATGTTTGCGAAGCGGCGCCGCACCGCACCGTGTGGCTTCTCACTAAGGGCCTAAACTAAAACTGGTACGAGTGCACGGAGCACCTCAGATTGTCCGACGCGAGTCAGCGCTCCGTGATCTATTAAGGCCATGATTTCCCAAATTGTCGANGCCTTAATGCACGCCCGCGCCCTGCGCTCACCCCCAAACGCACGTGTGGAAACCCGTCGCAAACGTCCGCGCCACACTGCGCTGCTCAACTATTATTCGATGATGAAGGTTTTACTAAGTAGTTAGCACTACCTAAGTCCTCCAACTTTTTGGTCTAAGCTAATTTACTAATTATGTTTCTCATTTCAGGTGACATCTTAAATGCAAGTGATGCACTTGATGAAGTATTTGCGAAGTACAACTTATTTGTTAGTGAAAGAAAGTCAAAATCTACCGAGCTTTCTGCAGAACCCACAACAACGGTGGAGACCAATAGCGAAAGTCTTCTAGACTTCGCGGGCGCGAGTGCCAGGAAAGGAGGTGGTGATGCCCCAAAGAATTTGGATAAAGTGACGCAAAGTAACGTGATAGATGAATTAGGAGATATATTCTCAACTGAAAGTGGCACAAGTCCTATTGCTGAACCACTGAAGCCTGTTAACCTGATGCCCAGTGGTGAGTTTGTTACTAACATTACTAACTAAAATAACTGAGTCTAAAGAAACTAAAGATAATAACAATTGTATTTATTTTTCACAGACGATGTTGATCTCTTAGGAAATAAAAAAGATAAAGCTGAAGGATGGAACGAATTGGACTCTCTTAGCAAACAATTACTCAAACAATCTTTGCCTGAAAATGCAAAAATCCTTGACGGTTTCAATAGGTAAGAAATTATATTCAAAATGATCCATTTGGTAGTAATTTACATAAAATAATATATTTTTATTTCTGATTTCAGCAAAACAACAAAGAAAATACCAATGAATGCGTTAGAAAAGTCTTCACCTAAACATGACGTACCAATCGCTAACAATGACCCAATATTTGATTTAGATTTCTTTATCAAAAAGCCTGAGGAGGAAGCAGTTTGCACACCAGCTCCGACCACTTTACCAGTCAGTCCAAACGATGACGTCATGGTGGACATCAGCACAGACGTTCCTAATGCTTCAGGATACAATAACAACAACAACAACGGTGGGAGTCCCCTGGACGAGATGCTAGATATAGGATTAGATAATGATGGTATTCAAAGTAGCCAGGTAGAGAATGTAGGGAATAAAGAGGAACCTATCATTGAGAAGAGGGATAGTATTAAGAATAACAAAGTTAGTGAGGTGAAGCCATTGACTGACATAAATGTGACGCTGCAAAGTGTGCACCCGAGCAACGTGGCTCCGCTGACCGTGTTCGAGGAGGAAGGCGGCCTGTCGGTGGTGCTGCACTTCTGCAGGGACAAGCCCAGGCCCGACGTGTATGTCATTGTGATATCCACCACGAGCAAAAACACGTCGCCTATAGAGGACTACAAAATTCAAGCTGTTGTACCAAAGGTGAGTTCAATTTATACACTACCGTTCGAAAATATCGTCCACACATTGCCGTTAAAACATTAAGCAATGAAGTTAAAATAGTAAAATGTTACAAGCTATTATGAGGTGGTATGTAAATGTAGTAAAACGTACACTCTTCATTCATTTAACCCTACCCCTGACATTAATAGGGTTCAGTGTAAGAAGACGCAAAACGCAAGAAACTCAGTCATACAAAAACCTTTTAGTGTATTTTGGGCTAGTTGTCTAGTAGCATGAGAAGACACTTCATTCTTGTTTTTTGTGGTGTCCAATAGTGTTTTATTATAATTATTATTTACTAGCTTTCCGCCCGCGGCTTCGCCCGCGTGGAATTTTGTCTGTCACAGAAAAACTTTATCGCGCGCGTCCCTGTTTCAAAAACCGGGATAAAAACTATCATATGTTCTTTCCCGGGACTCAAACTATCTCTATGCCAAATTTCATCAAAATCGGTTGCGAGGTTTAAGCGGGAAAGCGTAACAGACAGACAGACAGAGTTACTTTCGCATTTATAATATTAGTTGGGATTACTTTCGCATTTATAATATTATGTTATCGCAAACTATCTCTATGCCAAATTTCATCAAAATCGGTTGCGAGGTTTAAGCGGGAAAGCGTAACAGACAGACAGACAGAGTTACTTTCGCATTTATAATAGTTGGGATTAGTTGGGATTGTTCGTTGTGGCATGCAATGAAGTTAAATGTTATATTATAATTTTTATTTTTTTATTCCAGGGCTGCAAAGTGCGCCTACTCACGCCGTCGGGCGCGGCGCTGCCGGGCCGCAGCCCCTTCCTGCCGCCGCCGGCGCTCACCCAAGTCATGCTGGTCGGACGCAGTGCGGGCGCGCGCGTGCCTCTCAAGTGCATGCTCACCTACACCGTGGAAGGCGACGAGCGATCAGAAATGGCCGAGGTCGATGAACTGCCGCTCGACGATATTTAAACCTTGGGCAGACCAAATCCAGGGCAGTAGCAGCGCAGTTTGAATGCGGGCCCGCGCAAGTTGTAATACAAGAAACTCTTTGAAGTATGTATGTTACACCAAATTTGAACGCGGGCCCGCGCTCCAACGCGCCGCACTGCAACTGCCGAAATACAAACGAGGCGGCGCGGGTGCGGGACAGAATCGGCGCGAACGCGGGCCCGCGCTGTTGTATTACTATGGCGGCCATATTAGCATGACACACCGGACGCAGGGCGGTAGCAGCGCGTTGAAAGCGGTTTTCGAATATTTAAATTTTTGACAACCGCCCGCGTTTCAACTACTTTGAAACTGCGCTGCTTTCAGTGTGCCTCAGCCGCGCTGCAATTGACCCGCGTTTGGTCTGTGGAAGCCTTTAGGTATCAACGGAATTACGCTAACTTAAATGCAAGCATAGATTCGGGCCTGCGGGGTTACTCCGAAAAACGTTAGGCGCTAAAAGGATAGGACATTTTCATATTAGCGCCTCGATTTTATTTAGCAAGAAAGCGAGCTTTTCGAACGCAACCACTTCTATTGTGGTGAATTAAAACATTGAAGCGATAATTTGAAAATGTTTCACTGTGTGTGCCCTTTTACTACTTACACTTACCCTTTTGGATGCTGATGTCAATCTGATTCCCCACGGTGCGTCTTTTGACAAATTATCATACAAAAACACATCGCGTATCCGCGCTGCTGGCCATACTCAGTTGTGCGCTTTGGCATTGGCACTTCCCAAATGGGTAGACTCAAGATTACTCGTATTAATTAATGTTGTGACGATGCATCATCTTTGCGCTTTCAGAAATTTATTGTACTTAAAATTCTCGTCATGTTTCTGTTACTGTGGTTCGTCGGATAATGTTTTTCATAGGAGGACCTCAAATTTTAAAAAAAATGGCACATATGAAAGTATTTTGAAATATTCCAAATCAATCTACAATAGGCAACACCTATCAACACTATGTGATGAATTTGAGTAGTACAAAACTTTATCATCAGAAAACAGTACTTACATAGTTGTACAATTAGTATTAAAAGCAAAACATGACACTATTCGAATAGTCGAATATATTCTAGAGAATTGAAACTGAAATAATTGGTCTCGTGCAAATTCGCACAGGTGATGCATAAATATTTTATTACCTTGTTTATTTATAGCTAAAGCTTTTTTTATTATAGATACTTAATATCAGTTAGTGAGATATGTATAATTCGTTCTAGTCGAAATCATTATTTTCAGAAAAGATTAAATGCATTTATCTAATCACATTCCAAATCGTTAATTTTACGTAACTTACTTACATTCAAAATTTTATTATTTTTAAATATAAAAATTAATAATAATAATTATACTGAAATTAAATGATCTGATATATTTATAAAATGATCTGATTTCGAAACGTATCCAGTATTAATACTTCCAACTGATATGGATGACTGTTACATGGAAGTTGGCGATGCTTCGGTGACTGGGACAATGCGGTCTACAGTTGCATTTAAATGTGTAAATGATATATTGATTGTAATATCGTCTGTTGCTGTGCAATACATACAAATATTATACAATTTATTCCGAAAATATAATGATAAGTACGCAAGATATGGTGTGTTTATTTACGTCTAACTTACCACTGATCCTTGATACTGTATGCTTCCTAATTTTCTATTCTAATATTTAAAGCGACATGTGTGGGAAAGTTTTAGTAAAACTTTGGGTTAATATCTCAATGATTTATTATTATTATACAAAAAATATTCAAAGAACTACTTATTATAACATTTACATAGTAAATGCAATGAACACAAATCTGAAGCCATCTATGGCGTCCATTTCCATATTATTTATACAAAGTTGTCAATAATTACATTAAGGATAATTCCATATCTGTGAGGATAATTATACCAAACTAAAGAACTAATAAATCAGAATATACTCCAAATTCTATTTCTGTTTAAACGTTCAAATTCATTTAATAGTTAACATTGATGAGTTAACAAGTCTATTTGTCTTCTGTATTATCACTTATGTATTACGGATTTAAAAACATACATATTATTTACAAAACTTCTTTAGAGTTTATTTATACACAATAAATCAATCTTATACTAAGTTCGGACCTTTTCGACTGCTGCCCTATCGTTAAACAAAAACTCGAATAATCAATATACAGATGTCATTGGTTTTGTAGAAAAGTACATCTTTTATGATGTCGTTAGTCTCTGAAAGAATAAAACGCTTGCATCGTCATCAGGTGTCTAGGTTCGAAAGGCCCCAAGCTTATTGAAATCACATTAGGAGGCTACGCAAACGTACACACTTCGTTGCCGCCACGGTACACCGAGTTGCTGTGTCCGGTAGCGGCTATCGGCTATGCGCAGTACGACACTTTAAACGACTGTGTGTCAAGTGGCAGCAACTGGATACCAAAAGTATAGGCACTGGCAGAGGCTGAATCCATGGTGATTATATGAAAATAAAATATCCATTGGTGGGTTGTATGCTGCTCAAGACTCAAAAGTGTCAACGTTTACCTCTAAGGGACCTCCCAACACTAGCGTCTCTCGAGTTGCTGCTGATTGGCTGCCGAAAATTAATACAGCGCTGACGTCACGATATTTAGTTTAAGAGCGCTTTCACATTAGGGCGTTAGAAGCGCGACAGCAGCGTTTCTATAATGTGAAGGCATGCATCCGCTGTCACATAGTATGAAATTTTCGGCTGAAAGTGCTCTAAAAAGAGTTGGTGCGCCGCGTCTACACTAGCTGGCGAGACGACGACGCTTGAAAGACACTAGTCTGGAGGAAGCCCAAAGGTTATATTAGAAGTAGAAAGTTCCTTGAGGCGTGCGAGGCTAGACGGCCTGGTCCTTGAAGGCGAGCGCCGTGATGGGCTTCTGATGGCCGCAGTATTCCCGCTCCAGCGTGCCTTTCTCTACGTCCCAGAGTCGCGCGTAGCTGTCGGATGAACCTGCAAAGTGAAGTAAGCAACATCATTAATAAGAATAAAATAACTACGCCTTTGTAGTTCAGTGGTTAAAGAGTTGAATTGACTTTGTATCGACAACTTGAGGGTAGTCTCATTTCGGACGTCGGCACCGGACGCATCGCTTTATTCTATTCGAAGCAATCGTGCGCGTGTATGAATCGTGTTTTTCTAAGTAATTCTCAACTTGACAAATCATCTGCTAAAGTGAAAGGAATTCCCAGCTGGTGTCTCAATTTTAAGGTGGAGCACGTCATCAAACTACTTTAGGCACGTGAGTGCACGTGTTGTATCTGTAACTGCATGCTCATTTAGAAATCGACCCCACTATCAACGAACCACCTAAGGTTGCCACTAATGGTCTTTTTAACGTGGTCAATTGTAATTTTACTAGGTGTCTGTGATGTGATTACGACATTTTTTGCGGACTGGCTTCGCGCCTGTGCAGAGACTAAATGAGCTGATCATGGTAACTTGTCACGATCCTCATTGATAGGGCTATATAGCGCAGCAGCGACCAGCCTCGTGCGCCACAGTCACTCGACAGTCTCCCAGTCGTCCCGGCGGCCCAGTCACTCACCGGTGAACAGGTAGCGCGAGTCAATGCTGAAGGCGGCATCCCACACCCAGCGCTGCGTGTCGTGTCGCAGCTCGCGCAGCAGCGACCAGTCGCTCGTGCGCCACAGCCGCGCCGAACAGTCTCCGGACGTCGTCACCAGCATGCTACAAACAGGTACGATTTATTTATTCTTTAATGTCATATATTGGTACATAGGCAAATTTATCCTTTAATGTCATATAATTGGTACATAGCCGAACTTAATGCCATTGGGCATTCACTGCCAGAAATTTTGGGATAGGGTAGTTGACATCAATAAACAATACACAAGCTGCAGTGATTGTAGAGTTAAGGTAACGTCGGCAAAGAAATCTCCCTGCAACCCTCAAATATGGTACAATGACAGTTCTTCCTCAAAATTCCGAAAGGGATTATGACCTCCAGAGCATTTATACACCTCCCATCTCCCAAAATAGCTTGCCCGACCACATCATGCACAAGAATTCAAATTAACAGTAGCTTCTATAGGGCTACTATGAAAAGCTGTTTACGTAGTTCCGGGTCTATCTGTCACCGTCGCTCATACTGGCATCTCGCTTTGCATGAGAGGGATGGCAACATCCGAAATTTCGGATAACGTTTTTTGGAGTAACCCCGCTGTTAGTAATTTTTCGTAACGAGGCCATAAAATGTCCCAAGCGTCTTGCTTTTAGAAGTTAGAGAAAGCAAAAGAATATAATTCTAGCACAATATTTAATACATAAATGAAACGAGCTTGTCTGTTGCGTGCACTTGCTGCTAATTTATTATAAAGTGTATTCTGTATTTTTCTTATAAGTGAATATAATTGTATTCTTTTAGAAAAATAAATATTTAAAACCAAAACCATAATATCACATTATCTGATACTCACGTGGAGTCATGGCTGAACTTGCAGCGCAGCGCGTATTTAGAGTGCGCCTGTATGTGTCGGCGCGGGACGGGCCGCGGAGGCGCGCCGCCCAGAGACCACACGTAGCAGTTGCCTTTGTTGTTGACGGCCGCCATCATCTTGCCCTCCGGGTCGATGGCTATGTCCTGGATGGACGCTTCAGCTTCTGGTATCTGGAGGGATTTAAAACAATTAACTATTTTTGTGTATCAATCTTGCAATCAGTTAGAAGATTATTAATATACTAGCTTTGGCCCGCGGCTTCACCCGCATGAAATTTAGTGTCACATATCGGCATAAATTATAGCCTATATGTTATTTTGGGTTATTAACAATAATACTGTAAAGTTTCAACAAAATCCGTTCAGTAGTTTTTGCGTGAAAGAGTAAAAAACATCCAGATATCCATACAAACTTTCGCATTTATAATATTAGTAGGAAGTAGGATGGACAGATTTTTTCTGTAAATTAAAACAGGTCATAATAATGATCTTATTCTACTGTAACATCAACCTCAGTATCTGCCTAAATTATGGAAAGTTTCAATAAACAAATCTAACTTACTAATTGATCGTTCTTGTCTGTTCTGAGGTCCCACATGTGAATTATCCCACTCTGGTCTCCAACCATGATCTGTGTTTGGTCTGGATGGAGTACAACAGCATTCACTGGTGCCGGCACTTGGAATATTCGCTGGCATTGCAGCTGTCGTCCAGTTCTGTTCAATCAAATCAAATCTGATTAGGAAAAAAAAATTGAACATTTTAATAAAAAAAAGAAGAAAGTAGTATTTGTTTGAATATGGTACCTTGTGTCCCATATTCTTGCAGTACAGTCCTCACCACCTGTGTACATCCATTTTCCGTCTTCCTAAAATGATTTAAAAAAATTATCCATTGAAGTAAATAAGTAAACAAAATATTCATATAAAAACAAAGACGGTATTGATAATTACAGTTCATTCACATACTCACATGAAATCCTACTCTGGTGACGTTTTTAGTGACCCCCTCGAAGTTCATGATGGGGTCTGGATTGGCGCTGGCGAGATCATACATTCGGATGTGTTGGTACCCACATGCTGCCACCATTTGCCCAATAGGAGTTATCTCTAATGCATTTACTTGCTGAAAGATTGCACAGAAATAAAAAAGGTTGATGTCAGAGACTTTTGGGTCAGAGCTGGGAAGAAACAGCAAGAGAAACTCAGTCATTGTAGCTAGCGTAAGATTTCATTGAAGTAATAAATAAATAAATATTTATATTTTATCCATACATGGATAACAAACTTTACGAATTAGATTATCTATTGACTACACTGCGGAACAAAAAAAATAAAAAAATCTGCGGCATCTATTTTGTTAATGGATTTTGTAAATACTTGTATTAGACATAAATGGTGTGCATTTACTTTCTTTGGATTGACTCTGGTTCTTGAGATAAACGAGACACAAGAAATCAATGAAAAAAATTAAACGACCCTCCCTAAACTTATATTAATTTGATTATACCCACTAAGTTTTATTTTCTACTCATGTATTAGTGTTGTTGTAGTTACAACAATTTAGTAATCAGCTACTAGACCTTGAAATTAACAGTTTGTGTCTTTTAAATCAATTTTTAAAGAGCTTTTTTGTCTCAAAAATATGAGTTCATTACGAAAACCTTGCGTTTACAATCCCAACAGTTTTTGTTAATATTTGGCTTCTAAACTTACAAAAACAAAGAAATAAGATCACGAAGGTAGTGATAAAAACCTACCAAGCATACTGTCTTATAAAACTTCCATAAAATAATAAATATTGGGGGTCCAATATCGTCTGCAAGACTCGTGAAGACTCTTTGCCATACTGGAGTCAAGCTGGACGTAAAGGACTTCAATTTGGAAAGCCAAAGATATGAACTGAGCTTTCTAATCACTAAAATGATCAAAAGTCAGGCAAATTAAAGTCCTTTACGTCCTGAAACGTCCGTTTGAATACGGAAAAAATAAATTCGATTGACCGCAAATCCGTACTCTTATTAAGACACTGTATTTGTAAACCACATAACACAAATTGAATCTGAAGCATGGCTAAGCTTTGTTTTAGTAATCAAACAATATTTGGGGAGTCATAGAGCACCAGGCTTTTCAGAATTGGTTGTTTGAAAAATTTAACACATAAGGATCTAATTTGAGTATTAATTTTTTTTAACAATAGCCATTTGGACACGTTCTCCCATAATCTGGGTGATTACAGTGAGGAATAAGCAGAACGGTTCTACCAGAACATCAGGATAGTGGAAGAATGACATCCACGGTCAATGGGACCGCCAGATGATGGCTGATTACTGTTGCCATAATTATGGAATTTTCCTGACCAAAACCATAACATAAAAGCTTACAGAAAAAGCTTTTTGTAGTTTTTTTTTCTATTATTTGATGAAAAGCAAATATATTTTTAATTTTTATATCGTTCTTAAATAGGATCTTAGTGTAAATTTTTTTTATACAGATTGGTATTTTTATTTTGGTTTTTTTCATATAAACAGTTAATAGTATTTATCTCAAGATCTAGAGTCAATTTGACAAATCTAGTATTTTTCTAGTATTCAGCACACTAGTCGCATACAGAATTGACTCTAAACTACCATGCCGCAAAATGACTGTTCCCCAGTGCTATCTATGAATAAGAAAGAATTGATCTCTCTTCAACATTAGTCAGAAGACTTATTTCAGAGTTAAAACCTACAGGCCGCAACTACACTGCTATTAATCCTCAGAGGTCAAACCAGACAATGTTTATTGCCATCAGGGGCTTGAACGATCATTAATAGCATATAGGTTACCTACCGAATCCGGGTGTTGCATGGTGCGGAGGCAGACGCCACTATGCGCTTGCCATAGTTTTATGGTGTGATCGTAGCCCCCAGTCACCAGGGCCACCTGCGACCCTCCACTTCCACTGCTGCCTTCAATAGACATTGCAACGGCACGTTGTCTAATAAGTTATAACGACAGGCTATTCAAGTTTTGTATCAAGGCACAGGCACACCTTTAGAAGCTATTGTACAAGGTTTCAAACATAAATACAAACAATATTAATAATTTTCCGGGTATTTCAAAATGCAAAATGAATTACAGTTTGTTTACGTACGTACTTCATGTGACAATTGTATTGTGACATAAGTTTGACATTTGACACATACGTTTTTTTTTAATTTTACATTACATTTTACGACACGTTCCGAATTGAGCTTCTTTAGTTTAGCTTCTATGGCACGCGGCTGGGGGGGAACTGACCTAGAATGATTAGCTAAGTAAAAGAGAAGATTAAGGATGAAATCCCAACTAATATTATAAATGCGAAAGTAACTCTGTCTGTCTGTCTGTTACGCTTTCCCGCTTAAACCTCTCAACCGATTTTGATGAAATTTGGCATAGAGATAGTTTGAGTCCCGGGAAAGAACATAGGATAGTTTTTATCCCGATTTTTGAAACAGGGACGCGCGCGATAAAGTTTTTCTGTGACAGACAAAATTCCACGCGGGCGAAGCCGCGGGCGGAAAGCTAGTTAAACAAATAAAAATCAAGTTCCTCATTTACTGAGAATTTAAAATGCATTTATCACATTTATTTATTCAGTTATGCAAGTGTTATCATTTTTTGTAGCTATGTCCAGAATCCGGGGTGCGGGAGGAGTTGAGTAACGAAGGGCATGAGGCATCTGAAGGGGAAAGTGGGAGGGGGTGTTAATAGGACTCCAATCCGGACGACCGATCGATACTAATTCAAGCCATCCATGTCAGACGCCTATGATATTATGCTTGATAATATTATCAATAAACAGCCAACACGATTTCAGTAAATGATATGATTCAGACGTCAGAATCGCTAATTTAGTACTTAATTAAATGATCGGCAATGTTATCCTTGTAGCCATCCTATAGTTAATAAAAACATTTATGTAGATCGATCACACACACACCACACACTGCAATTAATATACGCGTCAGCAGAGTTGACTACCTCTACCATGCACACTTCTCTCCACGTGTAGGTACCGTTATACCTACCTACTTTTTGTGACATGGTGTGACTGTGTATCAACACGAGTGGGTTAGTAGTGTATTAGGCACTGCTTGCACAAATATTTGGTTTAGCCCTAATGTTAACCTATATGATAATGCCATACAGCATTAAGACCACCTCTTTTAAAATACCTATTCCTTTTTGAGTGCAATTTTTTTTATCAAAATAAATTATCAATTTGATTTTGTCATGACTACAATAAACTAATGAAAACAAGTGCCTATCACTTAAGATAGTAATGAAAAGATTCAAATATTTTATATGAAATTACTTTATTGAACATGTAAAATCCGTATTGACATGAGGAATGCTAATTCTCATTTACAAAATAACACAATGTAAAATTTCAGAGACAAATCACATCGAAAACCTACCTAGTAACTAACTAAAATACAACATACACATCAATTTCCTAAATAATATAAATTGCTCAACACAAGTAAAACCTGTGCTGCCTGTTCTTAGATTTAAGTTTGGTACCATTTAAAAGCAATGCAATTTACAATGAGAAGAGGTAGGTTTAATTAACAATTAGTCATTACATCCATGAAATAGTCTCTAATTTTACATGTTGGTTTAGTTTTACCAAAACTGTTATGTCCCAAGAATTCAGACAAACACTGACACAAATACAATATGGCATATTCATTCAAAGCACAGCTTTAAAATAAAACATTACAGCAAAAATTGGGAGAGCTGCAGACATACAAGTTTTGATGAAACCAATAAGGTACATCTCAGATGTGAGCATCCAGTAGTCACAGCGAACTTAACGAGGGAGGGCTAACTGTACAATTCCCCGGTGTATACATGCTAACACTTAAACATTATTTTTTTTGAGGCTTAGAAATCTAGACCCTAGCCTGTGGTGAAACTTTCCAAACTCTGCCAGTTATCTTACATCTATCATTACATTATCAATACTACAAAAACTAAGTAGTACAATAACACAGCAAAACATTCAACAATTTCATTAAAAGAGACCAAAAACATTTGTTGCAATAAATGGATCTGTTGATCATGTTAAAAATCAAGTGTAAAATATTAGAATAGCAAACTGTGGATCCGTTTGTACAGACTTTGGAAAGTCAGTCCATTTTTACTTTGTAATAAATTAAGTCCAAGTAAATTATTCAATATGAACAGAAATTTAGCTCCTGGGAGATCATTCGCTTTCTTCCTCCTCCTCCTCATCGCCTTCCTCGTCATCAGACTCTTCCTTCTTCTTCTTGGCCTTCTGCAGAAAGAAAGCACGGCATCAGTAGACTGTTCAAGACTCAATGAAGATGAAAATCTCAAGATAGTTATGGTTATACTTACAGCAGGTGCTGTCGCTTTCTTGCCCTTCTTCCCTCGCTTTTGTGCCTTCTTGCCGCCTCCTTCACCACCACCTCCATTGGCATTATATGACTCTAGATCTTTTGTGTACTGCTCCTTGGCTTCCGCTGCTTTTTCCTCCCAGACCTGCGGTAAACAAGACGGTTAGCATGGGCGTCCTAAACAAAGGAATAACATGGCCAAAACTATGCAAATATACTCACACTCTTGTCTTTCATTGACCTCCATATTTCTCCACCTTTTTTGGCGATTTCCGTGACTTTTAAGCCAGGATTATCGGCTTTTATCTGTTCTCTTGCACTGTTGAGCCATAGCATGTAGGCTGACATTGGACGCTTGGGCTTGTCCGTCATTTTAACTTTTTTCCTGCAAATAATCATTAAAACATCAAGAAAATGCAAGGCAACAGGTTATGAGAACCATGCTTCACTCTAAAACGAGTGTTAGCAAACGCTTGCCTCGCCGTGTTACAACTAGGGCGGCATTTTGGCGGGAAACGCATTTACGGCTCTCTCATTACTAAATACACAATTCCAATAAAAAGATCAGTTAAATCTACATAATATCAATCAAAAACATGACCTAAAACAAGTAATAATCACGAAATTAGTTATCGCCCCATATAACGAGTTCGATGGCCTAGGCTTGGCTTGTACGAGCCATTTTGTTTTCACGTATTGTGTTGAAAATACGCAATAAGCAAATATGACATAATTGCCAAATAATCCCGTGATTATTGATCTAAAAGTTGTAGAAGAACTGTTTCAGACCTCCAATGGAAAAGATCCGAGAAATTAATTATTTAAAATAAGGCGTCCTTCGCCATACCCACGCTTACTAAGGAAAGTACGACGAAGCCTATAGCCATGTTTGAACGCCAATTCCAACGTGGAACGAAAATTAATTTCACAAATTACGTCGCAGTATACACGAATAAACATAAAATAACACTTGACTTTGTTTAGAAAATTGATTTGACTTACCTGATGGCAAAAATTTTGAAATAATTTTTGAACTGGTACACAACCAAACTGTAGACGTAGAGAACCAGAAGAAATGTATGGAGCTCGAAGCAAATGTTCCCAGTGCAAGCTAGCTTGGGGTCGGCTCGCGTCGGACCTACAGCGCCATCTACGTCGCCTGTGATTGGCCAAGTTTCCCACTACTACCAACCGTATAAACGCAATGAAGCATCGTGTAATACGTATATCCGTGACGTATTGACCCCCTCTTCTAAACGAATATAGACTTTATGTCCTAAGAAATAAAGTAAATATTGTAATACCGATTCTTTTTCCATACATTTACTTCGTAAAGTGATAAAGTCGAATTTCTTTGAAAATAAGGCGAGAAAACCCCTGGAATTTAAGATTTAGGCAATTCTAAACCCAAATAAATATTTACAATCAATATCTTACCTAAGTTTATTTAAGAAGTATATCAAAAAATGACCCAGTCATACAGAGGCTCCCCATACCAGACTACGAACAAAATTAACTCGCGCCTTTATTTTGAATGCCGCCAACGTTTAATTCGAAAACGTAAAAGCGCGGCAAACGTTAGCGCGAAAGGGACGCCAATAAAACATAGCGCTTGAATGGCAGGCAGGCACGTTTGTTTACGATTTGATATTTCGAGGGGCCTGAGAAATAGTTTTTATTCCTTTTGGGATAAGGGTGTGATGTTCTTAGCACCTAAGATAAATGCGATAAAATACATTCTTGGGTAACACATTACCTACAATACCAAGATTTAGGACTTAGGAACAGAGTGATACAACAAGGATCACAACTTGATCACATAGCACACATTACAAAACTTGAGTAGGTATTGTCAGTTAGGGTTTTTGGTAGACAGGCAATTAGGTATAAATATAATAATGATGATGCTGATTCTTGCGCTACCTACTAATTAGCTTAAGATTATTCATGGAATGAAATTATACATTATACTCTGTTAACCTAGTCTAGGACTCTAGGTAGGTACCTAGATCAATGTTAATGCTATCTTCTTCATGGATGTAATTTATTCTACTTTCACTGTAGACGAAGTAAAAGCGTTTAGTAGCGTAAGAGTAAGTAGGTAGGTACCCATTCTACTTGGTTTCAATAAATAAATAAGTACAGGTACCACGCATTTTAATGAAGCATACAATTATTAGCGTAATAATATCAGTAATGTGTGATTGTCAGTGTGCTATAAAATTATTATTAACATTATTATGCTAAATTACCTGCTAATAAAACTAACTCAGTTTCCGTTCATGTAACATTTTTCGTCTCGCGGGATTCGAACCCGTACCTAACACGGCTGGCCGTACGCAAACCACCGCTCAGCCGGGCATTAGGCGATAGGCCAGTATTGCAGATTGTAGTACAGCGACAGCACATCAGACTATAGTTGCAAAGTCGCCCCTATCGCAACTGCGTAAGATTCCACTGTGATTACGTTGACGTGCTGTCGACTGTACATATTTATTGTATGTGGGGTGTAGTATCCCGTGTATCTAGCGCATTTACTTAGTGTGTAAAATGTCTTCAGGTAAGTAATTTCTACAGATATACTCATGAAACTAAGTAGGTTAAAGGTCTAAAGTAGACAGGTGGAGATGGTGGTGGTGGGACTTACGTAGGTAGGTCTTATTACATCCTATATCGTCGTAATCGTAAGTAGGCAACAAGCTCTTAGCTACCTAGGTAAGTATTAAATTAATGCAATGGCTAAATAGGAGTCGGTATATTAATGGTTTGTAGTTAGTTTAGTTATAATGACGAAATAACAAAAACTGGCTTATGAAGTTAGTTTAAAACGATTAGCTACGGTATTAATTACGTTATTAATTAATATCACTTCGCTCGAGTATTAATGATTACCTACAATCTTCTTCTACAGCTACTCTATGAATGACCAGCTTTTGCCCGCGGCTTCACCCGCGTGAAATTTTAGTTTGTCACATAATATCGTCATAAATATAGCCTATGTGTTATTCTGTGTTATCAAAATCCGTTGAGTAGTGCATGCGTAAAAGAGTAACAAACATCCAGACATCCAAACTGTCGCATTTATATTATGTATTAGTAACTAGGATAAGTATGGGTTGTGGTCCCAACCCGGAGTCAAACCACGTCAAACTATGATTCGTCTAAGATGCGTCCTCAGGATCATAGCATCATAGGATGCGTCTGAAGTCTGAACCTACACAACACAGTACCAATTTTAAGACATTTTACATGATGTCGTGAAGACTTGCTATACAGGGTGGAATTTTGTAATGACACCTGGAAGGAAAGTACCTACTCTTAATACTGTAGATAGAAAATTTTACTCAAAGAAGACATTCCTTTATTTTTGAAAAGAAAGAACCTCATTCAAAGATTTCCGAATTTTTTTTCGGAAATTCACTACCATACCATACGAGTACAAAATTATCTGTAAATAATTAAAATAATTTAAGATTTCATGGTTTAATTGCCTTTAATTTGATTTATCAAGTTTGTTACAGAGATTTCATCCTTATACTAATATCCGAACGATGGATGCAATAAAAATACAGGTGTAATTTTTAACAGATTTTAGATGGTTCGATTTCCGGGTGTGGCAAGCAAATTTTTGGAAATCTTTGAATGCAGTTTTATTTCTTTTAAAAAATAAAGGAATGTTTTCTTTGTATACATTTTATATCTACAGTATAAAGAGTACTTTCCTTCCAGGTGGCATTACAAAATTCCACTCTGTATATCATACTTTTACACTTAGTACTTCAATACTTACCATGACACGGCAGCTACTACATTTTTGGTGTTCACCACACCAATCTCTCGTGCTTTACTCGTAACTTTCCTCCAGTACCTACCTAGGTATATTTCGGTTTGTATCCTGACCGTAGTAGGTAGAAAAGAGGTGCCTACCTACCTAGTGCCTAAAATAACCTCTACAAGAGGAATTGCATAAGTAATACATAGTTTTATCAATTATTTATGTATTCTGTGGTTCTATTCTAAAACCCAGCAGACACCATTTATAGCGTCCTATACTGGGTCTTCTTTAGAAGATATTTTTCTACACTGACTGACTTAGAAATCGAACCTGAACTCGCTGGGGTTTAAAACTTGTAAACAGTATAGTATAGCAATAACACCTCACTCAGATCATAGAAGGAAATAAAACCGTCAATATTAATAATTTTTTTCCGAGTGATGCTGATGCCGACGAAATTGAGTTATAATATCATTAAACTATAGCAATTAAATTCACTTTGTTTTCTACCATATTTTAAGCAATCCCCTGTGCATCGTCGATACGGAGACGTGTTATACATTGTTAGTTTTTTGCAGGGATGTGGACGTATCCATTGAAGTTTTATCCCTTCGTATCTAGTAGGTTCTCTATTTTCTCACGATCATAAATTGTATAGTGATTAAACGGCAACAATTGAGCTTCCCTATTTTTTACCTCTACACTACTAGTTACGATCTTACATTAGTTGTAAATATAGTACTGAATAGATTTCAAGAGCATTTTTAAAGCAGCAATTTACATTATAATGCAACACGATAACTCAAACTACTTACATAGCATACAAAGTAGGTAGATTTACTTTAGGTGTAGGATTCCTATTCAGCTAGAGATAATTTTGCTTATTAAGCGCTTACCTAATCAATGAAATTGAAACAACACATTAAATACTTAAAAGTATACGAGTATTAAGTACATTTATGTTTAACTTCTACATTTAGGCTGAACATTGTACTTGTTACACTAGTATTATATTATCTGTGTTGTTACTATTGTTACAAAGTTTAAAACTTGTGTTGTAATAAATAAATGTGTTTATTTTCACATTTTTCTCAGTCATGATCTTCTCAATTTTAATCTGCATGGAAATAGAACCCGCTGTTCTAGGCAGGATCGCGCACCATCACTACGGTTTAGGCGTTTATCATGGCAAAATATTCCCTTATTACTATTATAAAAATTAATTTAAAAAGTATTATTCTCAAGTCTCAAAGTAGCAAGTAACAGTTTGTTTCAAGTTTTATCTCGCATTCCCTAAACTGCCGCAAGGAACCCAGGCAGGCCAGTCGTCTTTGTATTATTACAACCAATAGCTGCGCCTCATACAAAAAACAAGCGGAGTGGAACCGTTTGCGCCCTATCCATGGGGTGCCGTACAAAAGTACCACGCTCGGTGCAAGCAAAAAGTGCAGTTTATGCGCCGGGTTACCGTGTGGTAATATTGGCGCCTTTTTACAGATCAATGCATTTTGTATTCATTTGGTAGCTTGTTTAAATTAATTCCATTGAATGACGTATTATTAGCTAGAGAAATAAGTTTGATAAGCTTTGGTACCGTGGTTTTGGTGACATTTTGGACTGCTAAAATATGTAGGAAAAGGTTCTAAACTAACATTCAATGTTAACTAAATCGAACCTCGTTAAAACTAAACTCCGCCCAAAATATGCACCAAAAGAACCTGCAATAATACCACATGAAAGACAAAAAGAACACGATTTCACGGAAATAGTCAACTTCTTTGAAATCTTTCCATTTCTGACCTTGTCGGTCCGTTGTTTTTGTGGTCTTTTCGCATAATGGATAGGCCTGTTGGGTTTATGGAAACAAAAACTATTGTGTAAGTAACGGCTAAATACTTTCATTTTAGTAAATGAGGGCTATTATCATTAGCTTTACGATCAACAGTGAAAAGTCAACAGTCTTTGTACATTGAACAGAATATTAAGTTTTAGAAGTAGGACGGCTGAAAGAGTTTTTTTTTATATGTTATCTTTGGGTGTCCGGATAGATATTTTTTATGCTATTTCCTAATATGTAGGTGTGCACGTGAAGCGCGTTTTCGCCGACGTATTTGCTGACACACTGTTTTGATACTTTTATGAAGATCGTAGTTAGTTAGGACGCAAACTTTATTTTGTCATAATTTATTCGTACCTAGAGTATACCTGAGAGATACTTGCTTTATATTAAAGTAAAAAAACGTTTGAGTTTGATTGGAATTAGTCAAGAGCAAAGAAAACCAATATACGAATTTAAGAAAATATAATACATCTTAAACATTATTGGCATTAACTAACTTTGCTTACACAATCCACACAACTTTAGGATTTTGCAAGTGAACAATATTAACATTCATTATTCTTTATTTTATTTACTAATACATTTCTTTAAAATACCACACGTAGAAACACATTGTCCGCGCCAATCTTGCGCTGAATAAGGAAAACTAACATTTCTTCAGTTAAGAAAAAAAGATAATATTCGGTTGATACTTGTCAAATTAGCGTGGACAATTTATATGTATGACCACCAAATCCATGAGGGCTACCGTATTCTGTGCTCGCTAGTTTCTTTATTTTACAGTGGCCTCATTCTGATGAGTACTGAGACCAGTTGACGCCACTGTCTTAGGCCTTGTCCAGGAGGGCGAATGTCTTCGTGCGTAGAATCATACACGCGTTGGCGAGATAGTAGCAGCCAATACATTGCGTCCACAAAACACGCGCGATGTGAAAATTCGACGCGTTGGATTCGCGCGTCGGATTCGCTCTCCTGGACAAGGCCTAACAAGACCTCACTCTACAGTGGAATATGGTGCGAATACGGTAGCCACGTTGATATACTTTTATGGTGTCTTTGATGAGATTCAGTTAACAGGCTATACTAGGGATGTTATGGATATGTAGTTTCGGTTATGGATACGGTTACAGATACATGAATAATATTATACCGGTTACGGATATTTTTTTATTTCGGATATCCGAAAGTTTCGGTTACGGCTACGGATATCTGTGCTTTAGAATGCAATTTGCAATAGTTGTCCAACACGGTTCATTCATGGCCGCACTTTACTTTACATCGAATGAAAAGTAATAAAAAAATAAAAATTGATACTAGATAGCATTATACAGGTAAATCAGGCTGTTATGCCTTTACATATAATGCTAAACAAAAAACAATTTAAACTGCCTACATCCGAAACTATCTGAAACTTTTGAATCAGTTACGGTTACGGATATCCATAACATCCCTGGGCTATAATAACAGGTAGAACAAGATAAAATTTATCACTGGTTTTATTTATAACAACAATATACTTGTCCTAGTGGACAACGGGAAAATCGCAATTGCAAAATCCTTAGCTGTGCGCTTAAACAATGGATAATACATTTCATACTCGAGTGCAACATGTTTTTATTCATAACATGTCAACACGTCTCTCTTTGCGAACAACACTAGCTAACACTACAATACATTATGTACAATTTAGCAGGGAATGAATTAACAAAATAAAATATCACAACTAGGTACATACTAAGTTTAAGATATTCGTACAACACAAGATTCAATGAACATGATTAGCAATGAGAATGAAGGAGGTATTATCATAATTAAGGATAATCTGCACAACAACAACTAACTATATTAAAATATTATGCACGTGACACTAACACCGAAGGCAGATGCGCCTAAGACGCATCAAAGAAGCCAAATATGTCCATGAAAAATTTCATTTCATAAAATTTTAATTCCATAGAAAAGTTAGATGGGATTTAAAAAACTGACATACAAGACTCGTTGGATGAGTGTCAGTCAGGCCCTCTACCTCTGGTGTCAGTGTGAAGTGCTAATTTTGAGACACCCTGTATACAATAACCGAACTTTGTTAGTGATTACATATTATACCATTTTATCAATGTTAGAATTTGTAATACCAGTCAGTTGTTGTTGTTCATGTTAAGTGGGTGCGCACACACGCAAATTACATAATAATTTATGTCAATTTGACACAAAGGGACAATAACAAATCACACAGATTAAAGACCCAATACAATGAACTGTCCCACCCGAGACATTGACAGGGGGGCGCCACCGTCAATACCGGATCGCTGGTTCCGATTTTTGCCATTTTGGAAACTATACATTATAGTTGAACGATGGTGGCGCCCCCTGTCAATGAGTTTGGTGGGACAGTTCAGTGTAGGTCATCTATACAACATTGAGACACATAGTTTTATAGTGGTAAAACATTTTGAGAATTTATTTATTATACTCTGATTTAGGCAAGTGTTAATAAAACAACTGCCACTTAAGACAGCACATCAGCCTTATAAATTTTTCTTGCAAAAATAGCACCTATGACAACTGTATAAGATGCCCCAGTGTTTATAAATCTTGATGTGCCGTCGTCCGTTCAAGAGGCGATCGCCTGTGAGTTCTGTTCGCCCATCATGACGACAAAATTGGATCAGTCTTTTAAATCGGTAATTTAACACGTCAAACTGTTTAACAGTATTGTAACACTCACGGACACGATAAAAAAAACAATGTTTCGGAGCCGCCAACGGCACAGTCGTGGTCCCGTTCTGGTCAAACGTGATATAAATGATTTAGGCAATTTGGCAGCTTGTGTGCGCGGAGCGGTGGACTCGCGGGCGCGCGCCTCAGTCGCTGCCGCTGCCGCTGTCGGAGCCCGAGCCAGAAGCTTCGGATGAAGACGCCTTTGCCTTCTTCTTTGACTCCTTAGCCTGAAAAAAAAAATCGATTACATAAAAAAACATAGCATCTTTAACCAGAAACGAGACCACATCGTCATAGAAACTGGCTCAGACGCTATACAAAGTATCTTCCCGTTGCAAAGCGTCATTTTAGAGGTATGACTGTTTGTAATAATAATGGATCTTTCACTGAACGATATGCACAGTCAATAACAGTTGTCTTAAAATGAATATGAAATGGCAAAACCTTATGCTACACGCCATGATAAAACCATATCGACGATTTTTACGTCTAAAGCCTGGTCCGTGAGCACGTAGAATTTTGTCCAATGACCTTGATGTTGAATGATTATGTTGCTGTTGCGCTCGCACACTCACTGCGGGCGCCCGTCGCACAGTCGCGACAGCAATATATTTACGCGCCAGCGATAAGGATGAGTAGCTTGGGGTCATTGGACAAAATTCTACGTGCTCACGGACCACGCTTTAGTATGGGCGGGCTTATCGTGCAAAATGAATAAAATGCGTCGACAAAAGAGTCCTACTGGATTACTTTAGTGATAAGAAGTATAATATAGAAGTATAATAAGAAACAAAAGTATAGTCAACTTACGTCCTTGCTGTCCTTCTTCTTGTCTTTCTCCTTGTCGGAGTCGGAGGAGCTGGAGTCGTCCTCGATGTACTCCTTGCTGGTGAACTTGGCGCCGGAGCCGGTGCCCACCGTGCTCTTTGTCTGCGGATTCAATAGTTTAATATTATACACACTCTTACAGTAACATTTAAAAAGCGATGTCAAATGCTTTGTGTGGAACTTTGTTGCTAAAATGTGACGTCAATTTAAAAAAAAAAGTTTGTAAGTTTATGTCAGTTGTCTGGTACCCATTGCGAAACCATTTCTTTCTAAGTTTAGAACTTAATGGGGCAGTGTAAAATATTATCATAAAGGAGTTATAATAACCCTTTCTTTATAGAGCTTTTGGAGCATCCGATGATAAGACATAAGTCACGTTAAAATAAATAATGTTAATTATATCGGTATTTCTACCCTGTTTTATTTAGCTTCCGATATCCAAGCTCCAAGAAAAACGCAAACGTGGTCGCCCCAAACAAACTTGGCGATGCACCGTAGCAGACGAGGCGAAGAAAATCGGTAAGACATAAGCGGGATAAAACGCGAAGCTTAAGACCGAACGCGACGGAGGACTGTTGTGAACTTCTACCCCATCTAGGGGACATAGGATCTTAAGTCAAGTAAGTCATCCAAGCCGAGCATGAGGTATGACGAGTGATAAATAATGAATAAATGAATCGCAAAATGTGTTGGTAAGCGCATAATTCAACAACGCCTGGACCAATTTTACTAATTCTTTTTTTTAATGTTCGTTGAAGTCCAACGATGGTTTTTACGGCGAGAAAAGTTCGAATGATTTCCGGGAAAACACTAAACAAAACTCGAAAATTCACTCCTAAGGGGCTAAAACGGGGACCACGTGTTGAGGTCGCGGGCGGCCGCTAGCTTTTCGATAAAAAAATGGTTAAGCCACGTTTTCAGTAGGGGACATGTCGCGGAGATAAGTCGTCCAACATTCACGTAGTTTGTCTCTGCAACTTTGTCCCTCGACATATGACTTTTTTTTTTTTTTTTTTTTTTTTTTATTTTTGGGATGAGGCAGCGTTGGGCGGTGTGAAGTTTGAATTATAATGAGACAATGAATTAATAAGTGTGATAATAAGTTCTTTAACAGACATAATATCAGACAGTAAAGAGTCTTTACTTGAATCTTTATAAGCAGTGCCAGATGAGGGAAAGTTTATGTTGAAGTCTTTAGTAAGAGCATCATGAGAGGCCTTATCATATCCAGGACTAACTACTGGTGGGGATCTAGGCTTAAGAAATACTGTTTTTTTATATGAACTCCTGCTGGGAATATCGGATGAATTTATCAGAACTGGTCTATTTGTGTTTACTGGGGCTACAGTTGTCAAAACATCAGCATAGGACTTACCAAGAGGAGGGTGTAATTTCAAAGCCTCAGAATAAGATATACAATTCTTAGCCATTGTCTCTTTAATTTGCTTTTGGCGGGAAAACTCAGGACATTTTTTACTAGTCGCAAAGTGAGACCCCGTACACAGACAACATTTAACAAACTCTTCATTAACTGAACAGCTGTCACCCGAGTGGTCATGACCACATTTGAAACATTTGGGAAGAGATCTACACTGTGATTTAATGTGACCATATTTACAGCATTTGTAACATTGTATAGTGGGGAAAATGTATAAGTCCACGGGCAGAGAATTGTAACACATAAATACTCTCTTTGGAAGTACCTGTCCATCAAATGTAAGAACTACAGTCTCTATGGGTATGTATTCAACAGTGTCTTTTCCAATAGTTTTCCTTTTCAATCTCCTTACTTTAAGAATGTTGCCACAACCTATAGGGACTGTAATATTCTGTATAACTTCTTCATCAGTCCAGTTGGTTGGAATGCCCCTCACTACTCCCATGCGAGTAACATTTGATGTTGGAATAAATGCCTTATAGTGGTTGTTAGTCAAGACAGCGCTACTTATGAATGTATTGGCATCCTCATAATTAGAAAAAGAAATAGCTGCACGATTTCTGCCTATACGTTTTAAACTGCCATTAATTATGTTTTTAAAACCATGCTTTTTCAAAAACAAACCAAGACTAACCGGGTGAATTGAAGTATTTTGATTGGAAGTTGTCTGTTCTTTTATTATGTGTATGACATAAGGAGAAACATCAGATGTCTGGTAAAGATTCCTACCAATTGGCAGACGCTGAGAATTCGAATTAATGTTCTCAAAATCAACATCAAGTGAGTTTGGTGAGTTTGACATTGGCACAGATTTTTCAGCAGTAGTATTATTGAATTTGTTCGAGTGCTGTTTTGGTTGAACTAGCATGTCGGAATGAGATTCCGAGTGACAGTCACATGTATCAAGTGAAGGAACTGTAGAACTTTTATGATGACGTCTCCTCTTTTTATTACAGTGTTTACACAATCTAGGTGCAGAGGCCCGTTTTAAACGTTTGGATTTATTTTGAGAATGTTCGGAGCCATCCGTGCATGAACTTTCAGTATCTAATGCTGAATAATTATTACCTATAGTGACATTGTACGAAACCTGGGGGACGGAGCCCCCAGGTTCGTCTGGGTCGTTCATGTAACCAGAGAAAGAGGTAAAAACTTACCAGAGCACTGCCAAAATCACTAACTAATAAATAAATAGAAAGATAAACATAAATATACTACACTCCACTACTTAACTGATCTCTATTTACTAGTTAATTTATAAAAATCGCAAAAGCAAAAATTGAGACAACCGCCTAGCTTGACGTTTCCCGCGCTTTTTCAACATATGACTTGTTTACACTATAGTCTATCCAATATAGCTTGATTAGAATGACGGCTGTCAAACGAATGTGACTAGTGCTGGGTATGTTTCGTACGGTTCACATAGATGTATCGATAAGTTTTCGAAAAAATGATATAAAAAAATGCACCCAATGTTTCTTCATATCTTTTTTCATAAAAATGACAATTATGATTTAAATTTAAAGACAGTAAAATTTAAAATTCATGTCAAGGGTGTACAACCTAAGTCGTAGTCATTATCATCAGTGTTCTTCAGTGGTTTTTACCTCTCGGTAGAGGGCGGTGGGCATCTCTTCTAGAGCAACGGTGCTATGAATACCCAAAAAATTACCGGTGATTGATTTCGATGTTTAATTATTTAAGAATGAAATGTTTTTTGGTTTTTAATAGTGAACATTTAGAACTTCGTTACTTTTGATGGCAGCTGTCATTCTAATCAAGCTATATTGGATAGACTATAGCCAGTAGTGAACAGTATGTCGCCTTACCTTTTTAGCGGCAGGCGCCTTGGCCTTCTTGTCGGCGGCGCGGCGCTCCTTGTCGGCCTGTTTTTTCTTCTGCTGGAACTCGTCGGCGGCGCCGCTCTCCTTGTACTTCTTCATCGCCTGGTTGTACTCCTCTTTGGCCTTGCCCGCCTTCTCCTCCCATTCCTGTTACAGAATTTTTAACTTAAAAAAAGCGGTTTTTAAAAGCCTGTTTGCAGAAAATGTGACTTTATAATTTGACAGACTTATGGTGTGCCTGATAGATGAAGGCACTTGTGTATATCCTATCTGTAGGGACGAATATGAAAAAATATGTAGCGTACCTGTGTATAATTAATACTCATAAAACTCATTTCATTTTCCCAATATTAACCCTACAACTGCTTCGGGACAATTAAATAGGCCAGTGCAGGACAACAAGGAGTGCAAGTGCGGTTTTGTTCCCCAGTCGATGAAGCACCTGATGTCGTGCCCTGAGTGCCCAAGCAACTGCACTCAGGAGGACTTGATGAGTGCTGCTGACAACGCCACTCTTGTGGCGGAGTTTTGGGCTTACGCTGTGTAGGTTTGTTGTCGACACGAAAAGAAGAAGAATGGGCCAGTGCTGTAAAGCAGCGCAATAATCTAAGTCACTATTGTCAGCCTCATTACATGTTTAGACTTGGCTTAGTAGCTAATCTACTGTAAGCCAATGCCGTTATACAGGCTACGGAAACAGAAAACGATCACAAAACAAATGACGAATAAGGACCACCGCGTGCGCACGTCGCATGCGTCCGCGCCACACTCCGTTCTTACTATTTTTAATACAGACACGTGTGCCACTGACCGACTTGTCCTTGAGGTCGCGCCACAGCTCGCCGCCCTTCTTGGCGATCTCGGTGACCTTGATGCCGGGGTTCTCGCCAATGATGCCCTTGCGGTGCGTGGCAAGTCCACAGTGTGAGCCGATACAGTTACACACGCGATGGAAGTCACAACAAATGTTTGGGAGTAGAGTCCACTGACCGACTTGTCCTTGAGGTCGCGCCACAGCTCGCCGCCCTTCTTGGCGATCTCGGTGACCTTGATGCCGGGGTTCTCGTCGATGATGCCCTTGCGGTTTTCGTTGAGCCACAGCATGAACGCGGTGGCGGGCCGCTTGGGCGCGTTCGCGTCTTTCTCGCGCTTCTTCGACTTCTCCTTGCGCTTGCGAGGCGCTTCTGACTGAAATGAGACAATGAAAGTAAGCTTAGCGGGTCTCTAGCACGTGTTTTACCCTAGACATTCAACAAAATTGTCTAAAAAACCAATGTTTTGTGCAGACGTACTTGTTATTTAAGCATTATCAAACAGTAAAATAACAAAAATCGCAAAAGTGCGTAAGATGTATAAATTAGAAATAATCGTGACGTCACTCTACATGTTAGAACAACACACAGATACCGATATGAGTCACTAGGGGCGCGTGTAATATGATGTCACGTTCAGCTATTTCCATTCAAAGTTTAAATACTTGTTTCTTTTTTGTTACCAGTCCGATTCCACTACTTCTACAGAAATTGTAAGATTTTAGTGTTTATTTATGAATGATGATAATGAAATTGAAGTAAAATAAACGATAACTTACTATTGTGATGGTCTTCTTTGGTTTCTTTTCCTTTTTCTTTTCTTTCTTGCTGTCGTTAGACGCTCCCGACGCGTCGGAGTCTTCTGATGATGAGGGGTTTGTGTCGTACCTGAAATATTGATGAAAATAATTATTAAGGTCTGTGCTAATTTGTACGCTGAATTGACAAACTTAAGTGGTAGTTTGCGAGGCACGTGACTGGTAGAGTTGATGGCCGTTGTGGCAGAAAATATGTAGTGAAGGTCGCGGGAAACGCAGGACCGGTCGATGTAGAAACAGAGGTGGAATTGTGTAAGGCAATCGTTATCATTTGACAGTTCATAACGTACGATTATTCTGTCAAACGTTTTGTTTAACTGACTTTATCGTACGTTATGAACTGTCAAATGATTACGATTGCTTTACACAATTCCACCTCAGAATGAATGAAGTGTGGTGAAGGTGTAGCAGCTTTGGCACTACACATTTCTTTGTCTCGCTCTCCTAGGCTAGTGCAAGGGACTCACTCCTCGGCTACGTCGCTCTCCTGGGCTAGTGCAAGGGACTCACTCCTCGGCGACGTCGCTCTCCTGGGCTAGTGCAAGGGACTCACTCCTCGGCGCCGTCGCTCTCCTGGGCTAGTGCAAGGGACTCACTCCTCGGCGCCGTCGCTCTCCTGGGCTAGTGCAAGGGACTCACTCCTCGGCGCCGTCGCTCTCCTGGGCTAGTGCAAGGGACTCACTCCTCGGCGCCGTCGCTCTCCTGGGCTAGTGCAAGGGACTCACTCCTCGGCGCCGTCGCTCTCCTGGGCTAGTGCAAGGGACTCACTCCTCGGCGCCGTCGCTCTCCTGGGCTAGTGCAAGGGACTCACTCCTCGGCGCCGTCGCTCTCCTGGGCTAGTGCAAGGGACTCACTCCTCGGCGCCGTCGCTCTCCTGGGCTAGTGCAAGGGACTCACTCCTCGGCGCCGTCGCTCTCCTGGGCTAGTGCAAGGGACTCACTCCTCGGCGCCGTCGCTCTCCTGGGCTAGTGCAAGGGACTCACTCCTCGGCGCCGTCGCTCTCCTGGGCTAGTGCAAGGGACTCACTCCTCGGCGCCGTCGCTCTCCTGGGCTAGTGCAAGGGACTCACTCCTCGGCGCCGTCGCTCTCCTGGGCTAGTGCAAGGGACTCACTCCTCGGCGCCGTCGCTCTCCTGGGCTAGTGCAAGGGACTCACTCCTCGGCGACGTCGCTCTCCTGGGCTAGTGCAAGGGACTCACTCCTCGGCGCCGTCGCTCTCCTGGGCTAGTGCAAGGGACTCACTCCTCGGCGACGTCGCTCTCCTGGGCTAGTGCAAGGGACTCACTCCTCGGCGCCGTCGCTCTCCTGGGCTAGTGCAAGGGACTCACTCCTCGGCGCCGTCGCTCTCCTGGGCTAGTGCAAGGGACTCACTCCTCGGCGACGTCGCTCTCCTTGGCCTTGTCGGGGTTGAAGTCCTCGTCGGTGCTCTCGTCGTCGTCGCTGTCCTCGGAGTCGCGCTCCTTGGCCTCGGCCTTGACGCGCTCGAGGTACGCGTCGGGCTCCTTCTCCGTGTCCGAGTCGCCGAAGTCGTCGTCGTACAGCGCTTTGTCCTGAAAATGGTAATGGGTCTTTTAGCATTCGACGTTTAGTTCCACTAAAGTCCGGTCGCCAAACAGATATAATTTAGCGCAATGACCCCAAGCAACCCCCCGTTACATGGCATGTCAGGGGCCAGGCCCCCCTTGAAAAGTATCCTAGATTCGCCAATGAAGTGACTTACTTATAAAGGAGCCTTTTTTGACTCGAAGATACTCACGTTTTTGCCAGTGTTCTTGACGTGAAGTTTCTTGGTGGTGATGTAGTTGAAAAGTTTGTCGTATTCGCCCTTTTCGATGCTGCTGAAGGTGTGGATGCTGCCTGATTTCAGTTCTATCTCAAAGTCGAAAGATCTGTGGAAATAGTACAGATTAACATCCAATGAAAGTTTTTCGAATCAAACTTGCTCTAAATATCTCACTTTCATCATCACTTGCCATCACGTTACATTCTGGCAAACGCAAACCAAGGACGCCTTTTAATCAGAGGCGTGAGGACGCGCTGCAGGCTGCACTCGTAATACTGTGGTGCGCTTGCCGCGCCACTACTAGTTTTCACACAAAGCGCAGCTCCTCTATCGTGACAAACGCGATAAATTGAGGCGGCATAAATTTTAAAGACAAAGAGATCTCACTTGGTGGAAGACGCGCCTCCTCTGGCGAAGTTGACGGAGGCGATCTCCTCAAAACGAATGTGTACGGGCGGCTTGTGCACGTAGATGAAGCCCTTCTCCAGCGGGTACAGGTAGCCGGCCGCCGCCTTGTACGAGCACGCGATGGCCGGCGTCTTATGGTGCCTGCAATGAAATTAAATAGTTTATTCAGTACATAGGCTTTGACCAGGCCTGTTCATCTCCGCGAGTTTACATCGAAAACAAAACACGCACGATGGCCCACCTACAGGATACTATTCGACAAGGCCTCACATACGAGCGAACATTGACTCACGCACGCGTAATCTTGTGTATGATGGAAGAAAATAAAGAAAATGGTGTACTAAATACTGTGCAGTATTTAACTGCCTAAATAATAATAAAACACAGAATGTACTTTTTTAAGTTGCCTCAAGACACTGAGAGGTAAATAAGTAGTTAATATTATTCATGAAAATTCATGTATTTCCTTCGCCATTTTCCGCAGTTTGGCACCTCACGTCACATCATTTTACCGAAGTCAGCCCTATAGCTTCGGCGCAGTACCGATCACTGACGTTTGTCAACAAAATGGTGCTTAACTCTTGAGACAGGCTAAATTACATATTGTTAATGACATTGAGCATCCATTTTTTTAAATACCTTCGCGAAGTATAACTTCTGTACGTAGTACGAGGGCGGCACTGAAAATTTCGGGAATCAAGGAAGTGAAACAACATTACTATTTAAAAATGTATTTATTGCTTTTTAAAGTATTCTCCGCGAACTTTGACACATTTTTCCATACACGAAACCAATCATTGAAGCAACCATTGCATTCGGAAGTTTGGGTCTCCAAAATGGCCGTTTTGTAGGCTTCCACAGCTTCTTCAGGTGATGAAAATCTCTGACCACGCAATTTATTCTTAATTTTAGGGAAAGTTTAGAAATCATTAGGGCTTAGGTCGGGGCTGTACGGCGGATGGACTAATAATCCTATGTTTTCTTGCTCTAAAAACTCTTTTGTTCAGTGCGCGGTGTGAGAACTCGCATTGTCGTGATGGAGGATGATGCGGCG